ATGTTTTTAATGAGATGAATAGTAATTTGTCATCGCTGCATCGTGTAAATACACACGATGCAGCGATGACAAATTACTCTATAACTAAAATAGACTAAGAAACTAAAATAGTCTTATAATATAATTTAGTTTGAATCAACAAATATAATTTAGTTTGAATCAACAATTAAATTTTAATTTGATTATTCACTTTGCTAACGACAGAATGAGTTCCCATACATCTCACTTGAACAAGAACTTGTAATAACGACCTCTATGTTCTCCTGACGGAAAAATACAGATTTCTAGTTTTCAAGTCCACTTAAATAAACATATTTGTCTCAACCATAGACAAAACACTATAAATCTAAGAGTCTCAACTAATACTGGTTTTTGCTGGAGGGCTCAACACTTGTTTGTAGTTTGTTTGCATTAAAGTAGTATATTTTGTCTGTCCTTTGTTCACTGACTTGTGTTTTCTCTTAAGATAATCTTCAAACCAAAAAATTAAACGGTCATGGGAATGTGAAACATTATAATAATTACTTTTGGAACGAAGTTCCTTATTACGCGTTGTGAAAGGGGGCTAGACGGAAAAAATTCGTACGAAAATTTGGAACGACACTTTTAATATAAATTGACGTCTAACTGTGGATACCATACATTAAATTTGCTTTAACGTTCGCCAACGTCCATACCATGTTGAATACACCGGTTCTCGTCCGATCACCGAAGTTAAGCAACATCGGGCGTGGTTAGTACTTGGATGGGTGACCGCCTGGGAATACCACGTGATGTTGGCTTTTTGCTCTTTATTTTCGTGTCATCTTGTCAGACATTCAGCGCCATCTATCGAATAGATAGGAAATCATTTCGTAAGGAGATTTTACCAATGTATAAATTGTTTTAATTGTTTTTAATATGTAGGTAATAGCCGCTTTCATAGATGGCGTTGTAATTAAAATCGTGTCAAATCAGTTTTACTCGATCGTCACAACTTCGTTCCTATCGAGTGTCCCACGACACCACACGGCTTTTTTTTTTATGTGAGGTAGGTCCGCTACGCGCTGTTAAGAAGGACGCACGTTTCGCTGATCTCTCACCGTACGTCAGCGGCGAATTTACATTCAGTCAAAAAAGTATCGGGAATGGATGATTTGTTTATGGTTCCAAATTCAATTTTTTTTTGTTGTTGTTGTTAGATTGGCACAACTGTTTTCCATTTTGGCGCCGAGTTTGAGTTGCATCTGTTATTTATATTAAATACAGTGCTGTTTTTAGTTATATCATATGTAGTGTTTTGCGAATTACATAATGGACAAAAACATCGAACAAGGCGTTTGTCTTAAATTTTGCATCGCCAATGGAATTTCGTGTTCGGAGTCAATGAAAATGATACAGAAAGCTTACGGTGAATCGACTTTATCAAAAACACGTGCTTATGAGTGGTACAAAGCGTTCAAAAGCGGTTGAGATGTGATGGATGATTTGCCTCGCTCTGATAGGCCATCAACGTCTGCAACTGAAGTTAACATCGCAAAAGTGAAGGAAATAGTGACTGAAATTCCTCATTCAACTTTGAGAGAGATAGCCGCCAAACTTTCTGTATCTCACGAGTCGTTCCCTACCATTTTAACTAATCTATGAAATATGTTAACTCTCGGCTAGTCCCAAAAGACCTGAATTATCTCCAAAAACTCAATCGCATGAGAGTCTGAGAACTGAACTCATTTCCGGAAACAGCGTTTAAAATGTTTTGATGATTGGATTATTCGTTGGCGTAAGTGTATCGTTTCTGAAGGAGCATACTTTGAAGTTAATAAAATAAATTTGGATGAATGACCAACATTTTGTGTATTACTGATCTTTTCTGAAGAAATTTCTTGAGTAGTAAATATTTGCCGTGAATAGGCCGTTCAGGCCGTAGGTAGGAAGAAGGGACACTCGAAATGCTAACGCTAGCCCTCGACCACATGTCAGACCCCATTAGGGAGATGTTCGAAGCTAGCTTGGCATCCGGACGTTTACTTGAGTGCTGGAAGAGCGGGAAACTGGTCCTGTTAACGAAGCTAAGACAGCCTGCCAATTTGATGGCGGCCTACAAGCCAGACGAAGGTTCTCTTATTTCACGGGCGCCATCGCCTGGTGCTTCAATCGTATCATCTCGGTCCTAGGTCAGGCCCGGAGGTCGGTCGCTTCGGTTGGAGACGCGCATTCCGGGGCCTCATACCGCCCTGACTAATCTACACTAATATTATAAAGAGGAAAGAATTGATGTTTGTTTGTTTGTATTGAATAGGCTTTGAAAAATTCTTTTACTATTAGAAGCCGACATTATCCGTGATGAACTTAGGCTACTTTTTACCCGGGGAAATGCTGCATTCCTACGGGAAAACGGGTAATAGGACAACGGGTGGTAAGAATTATAAATTATTATTAGTAGTTAATTATTAAGATTGGGTTGAAATTTTATATGGGCATTTCGATGGTTTCCTAGATGATTTAAAAATACAATTGGACCCGGTAGGTGGCGCTGCTGTCGGTATGTCAACTACTAAATGTGTATTGGCATGGTTTCACAGACAGGAATGTATTATGCCTACCTAATCTATCTGTCTATACATATAAATAAAAATGAAACGCCGTAATGTATGTACTGTACGCGCATAACTCTGCAACAAATGTCTTATTTTTTTAAATGGGTAGGTACACTAACCGTGCGAAGCCGGGCCGGGCAGCTAGTGATTACTAAAAAAGTTTTTCAAAATAACTCATTTAAATTATAATTTAAAACGTAGTATTTTTTACCAAATGCGACTTCATCAGCCGGGGAAAGATATAAACTCATCGGGAAGTTATCGCCCCATCACGCTCTTCTCGATGACGTCGAAGTCGTTTGAGAAACTGCTACTGCTGTACATGACGCCACACTGCTACTGACTGATTAAATTACTGAGACCTAAACACTATATTTTTTGACAATATTATAAATAATTAAGAATTTTTAAAATAATATGAGGTTACTTTTACAGAACAACAAACAATAAAAAAAAAATTGGTTTCAATTTAATCGTAATTTAAATCTATTCTAAAATATTTTGCAGCTAGAACCGAAAATGAATAAAAATACCGCACAAGTCAAGCACAACTAAACCCTTCTTGAAAATAACAAAAATCTTATAATTATAGAAAAAACCCAAATTCTAAATGGGAATCAAGTTTAAGACGTCACACGTTTTGCGACTTGTAAAAACATTTGAAAAGATTTACTTACAGCACAAAAAAAGCTGTAAAAATCAAACATTATGCCGCAAAAAAACGAAATTGACGTCGCGATGTAGGCAGCCGCAGAGTTGTCGGCGGAATGTCGTCTGTGTAGGCCAAGAGTAACACACTGGAGGCAGGCAACTTCCCTGTGGCACACCGGCTCATTTAACAGATCCATCTTTTAAGATAATAACAAACTAAAACAATAAAAACCTACCGTTCGCGGTAGGAATAAACTTTACTTCTCTGAGAGATTTCATATAAGAACACTTCAAAAATATGACGTGGCTTTTAATTTAATTAAATGTCTAGTGTTCAAACAACAACTTGGGCTTCTTGCTTAGAGTTATATTAAATAGGTATAATGAAAATGCTTATATTTAATTAAGTACATTACCTAATAGGTATACACGTATTAAAATAAATTTAATATTTTAATCGAAGCCGTACTGTTTACCCGACCAATACACTTACACCACCGTCTCTTGCCAAGTATACACAGAAGAAAATAAGTTTTCAAACAAAATTTCTATTATTAATGGCTTCAATCATGGCAATTTGGGTAGTAAAACATCAAAATCTACCTAGTATTGGCGCTTGAGCGCTTTATTAAAAGACAAATAGGCATGCGTATAGGTACCTACATAAAGTTGATTCCCTAGCGCTGTGTTCAATTAGGATTACTTATTTAAACTTTAAAATTACTCTTTTGTGAATATGTTGGCCAATTTCAAGACCGACGATAGCCATAGGAATATATTTATTGAAAATGTAACAAATTGTTAGTGAACTTAGGCAGGTATTACAGTTAGGTTTCTACACTTTCTGCAGTTGAGAAACTGTTCAGCGAGACTTCTATTTTACTTTAAAAATAATTATGTCATGTTCTAATTATCTTTAGACTATTAGGTTTTATTTACAAAAAAATATTGTAAAGATTAAATCAATGTAATTTACAGTTACTGTTAACAGAGCCCTCTATTGCTCTATAATAGTTACCTTATGTAATAATAGACCGTCAAAGGTACCGTTTGATGCGTCATTCATTTACCGCTGCACGTTGTATAAAATTAGAACACGACCAAATCAATAAGTTCTTGAAAATACAGGCGCAGAGGGCGTTTTAGGCGACTAAAGCGCAGTCATTATGACACTTAATAAATTAAAAAATAATAAACAGTCATATAAGTCTTTTAGAAATAGAAGTCTCCTTAAAAATATGGTTAATTTCATGATTAATCTTAAATAATTTTTATTGCAGTGAATTTCTGATGAATACATTAACAGAAGTTGTTATGACTTCTTAACAACAACTCAAATCGACAAACAAGCGATGGTTCGTACTTTGTATTGAGGCAGCTATACACCGCCATCTTACGTTCACTGTGTCAACTTGTGGTGAATCTAGTCTGGTGCAGTAATTTTGTGTTGATTGTGAACTGAATAAGATAACGAAATACAAACTGAATAGTTCAAACAAAATTGGTAAGTTTCATGAGTAAAACACATGTTATTGTGGCGGAAAGTTCAAGTTGTATCCTAGAAAAAACTTTTTTGAGTATGTGTAGACGAATAGCGTCACCCCAGTCCCATTAACTGTGAATCTTGTACATTTGGAACTATCGATCGTCGTTACTGTTGTAAATTTGAGTTAATAACTCTGTTTATACACAAATAAAATTCAATTAAACTTTTGTTTCAGCGCTTGATATGCCGCAAACTAAATCAATATTATGATTATTTGAATTTCAACAATGTCGGACGTAAAGCAAGTGAAAGTTGACAACTGGGGGATATATTTCCTCCAGAGGTTAAAGCACTTTTTCAACCGCACAGACTACTGTGACCTAACACTCCAGTTTCAAGACAATGCTCAGTTGAAAGTACACAGGCTAGTGCTTAGTGCGTGCACGGAATATTTCGAGTTGTTAGAACGAACATGTGAGATGTACGAAGACTGCCTCGTGATGCCGGACGACCTGCAAGCCGATGTTGTTGTACCTATCGTAAACTTCATGTACACGGGACACCTTGAATTTAGGATGGATTTGCTGGAACGATTATACCAAACATCTCAAATCCTAAATATGCCTGTTCTGAGTAAACTCTTGGAGGCACATCGACAACCAGTTAAGTTCCCTGCACACAGTTACAGTGCAGTAAAGAGATTTCCAAAAGTGAGTGAACCAAGTAAAATAATTAAACCAATCTCAAACACCAAACGCTCCTACAGTAAAGCATTTGACAATAACAATAGTGTATATAAAGATAAAAAGGTATATCAACCACTAAAAATATGTAACAATTCAAGTAGCTCTATTACATGTACGTCTTCTCCTGTAGCAGTAGAATCTACAATACCCAAGAAGAAATTAAAATTAGGAGAACCACGTCCAACAAGGTATGAGCTACCTGAAGAATTGGATACAGACAATGTGTTTGATAATTCATTTTGTAATATATCATATGCTTGCAAACCTTTGATGATCCATCCAGAGACTGTGAAACGTTACTCATCTAAACGTAGTGGGATATTTAGTGAAGCATCGAGTTCTAAAAAAATACTGCCTAGTATGTCTACTGTTGATATTGTGGAATGCAAAAGAATAAGCAAGGAAGAAAACATATTTGATGACAGCGGTCCTGACCACAGTTTGGGTGAGGATCTTGCCATTTTTCAAACATACAATGAACCTTCTAAAAATTCAAGCCAACTTTTTGATCAAATTCTAGATGACGGTCCAAAAGTGACAATAGAAACTAGAGACAGCAAAGTCGCTTCCAATTTAGATCATGCTAAGATTATAAGTGAAGTACTGAAAAAGTATCCTCATTTAGTCAAAAGCAATAAGAATATTAAATTAAAGATACTAAATACTCCTAGCAAGGGTAAAAAGCCACAGAAAATGTCTCCTGTGTATGTTGAAGAAAAACCGTTAAAACTTAAGACTGAAGAACCTGATTACACTTATGAAACCGATGTCCTTGATTCTCAGCAAGCAGCAAAGCTTATTGCTTTGGGGGCAGAAAATACTAAGGGTCCTTGGATATGTTTAATTTGTGGGACACCAGGAAAAGCTCTCCACTTCACTTCATACTATAAATTCAGGCGTCATTTAGTTGAAGTTCATAATGAGAAACCTGTATCAAACATATGTGAGTACTGTGGGCTTAGATCTTTGAAGAGAAATTACTTATTACACCATCTTTACTCTCAGCACAATGTACCTCCACCACCACAATACCATTTTCCTAAATGTGATAGATGTAATTATATTGCTCTGACTGAGGGATTCCTTATTAAACATAAGTTAACTCATCAAAAATCAAAGAACTTCCGTTGCAATGTCTGCTCAGCACCATTCAGTACAACAAAGGAACTACTACAACACATACAAACTACAGGACATAAATACAGTGCTGAGAGAAAAACAAACTTACAGTGCATTTATTGTTTAAAAACATTCTTGCGTCATGGAAATCTCTATGCACACTTAAAAACCCATCACAAAAAAGAAGCCAAGAATGATGGCATTATTGATGATTCTGATGAAGAAAAGAACACTGAAGAAATTTCTAGGATCAAAGTAGATAATAGAGAAAGCAAATATCATCACATCAAATTTGAACCCAGCACAAGCTATGACATATATAATGAAAATATTTATGAAGAAGTTGATGTACAATATCAAATACAAGAAGGTCATGATGGTGATATACAACTGACTCCTAGAAAACAACTTCATGTGATTTCAAATCAACAACACAATTCAACACCAAATACGCCAAAACAAAAAATATTAAATCCTGGCTTTGGCAGTCCTAAAGCTGCTCAGAAACCAAAACCCATGAGGAAACCCCAAATTGAACGCAACTCTTTCCTTGAAGGAATGAACATTCAATCACCACCTGTAACAAACAATGAAAATGAAGAAGAAATAGTTTTAATAGATAACATTGAATATATCATGAGAGAAAATCAGCTTATTCCTAGAAAGCCAAAGTCTGGAAGTAATGAATATATAATTACTGATATGATGGAATCTGCTTCATTGCAAGCAGTTCAACCAACTACATCCATGGAATATTCAAGTATCCACAATACAAATATTGTACAAGAAGCACAGCCTACTATGGTAATGAAAAAGGCTTCAAACATAAATCAACCAATACAAATTGTAGTATCAAATGAAGAGGAATATAAAGCTCTAATGTCTTCTAATCACCCTATATTATTTAATAATGGTGATCCAAATAAAACTTTAACAGTGTTAACTGCACCTCATAATGCAGCAATGGAGTCTGCTGCTATAGACTTAAACAATACTCAATCAAATGATATGATGATTATTCAAGAAAATTTTCCATTAAATGTTACTGAAGCTGTTCCTACAGATAACCCTAACATAGTTGTAGTTTATAGTCATCCTGTTGATGATCAAAACAAACAATTCCAAATTCTTACAACAGGTGGAATAGGTTCACAATTTGTTCAGTCTTCTACAATAATTACGCAAAACTATGAAACAGTGACTACTTCTGCACCAGTAATGAGTGCACATGCATTAGAACCACAACCTGATACGACTTGGCAAGATAATATTCAAAGTGGAAATGGTGAGGAATTGCCAATATGTCCACAGGCTGAGTTACAAGATGTTGAGAATGTGGAAATTAAACCACTTCAAAATGCCGATAGTTTAAGTGAGCTGCCAGAAGTTCATTTAACCCGGGGACTAGAAACCATTGTATCTCAAGAAAATTTACCTAATGATACTCCAAATGAATTGAGTACCATTAACACAGAACATGTTAATGAAGAAGTAGGACAAGAAATTGCAGAAATTTCTGATAAAATACCTGAACCTCAAATGGAATCAGTGATTACTGGAGGTGACATAATTGAACAAGAAAAGGCTGCTGCTACCAGTGAGCCTATGGATATTTCTCAGAGTAATGAACATATACAGGAAATAGTTGGCAATGACGATGCAAATACAGATACTGTTGTGCAAGACCCAATGGAAAATGAAAGTATTCCAGAACAAACAGGTATAGAAGAGATATCAGAAGTTACAGAATTACCACCACAGGAAGAACAAGCTATTATGACAACGGCTGATAACTCTGTTACTGTTGACACTATGACTGTAACTGAGGTCTCTGAGATTCCACAAAATGATCTCAAAAATACTTTGGATAGTGAAGAACCCCCACAATCACAAGCCTATGATGATATTGTTGTATTAAACCATAACATTGAGGAACAACCACACAGCTCCTCTAAACCAGAAGAAAAGATCCAAAACTTAACATCAGAATGGTCTGAAGATGAATATGATGTTGCCGAAGATGCTCCTGCAACTTTGGAATCCATTTCAAGATCTGAAGTTGTTGTTAGACCTCCAGAACCAGAAGAAATATTAGAAGAAACAATAGAAAACATACAACAAGAAGTACTAAATCATGTGACAACTGCAACAACTCTAGGTGCTACAATTGAACCTGTGTCTGAAATGGATAATGAAAATCCTGTACTAGAAGAAGCAGGATCAAGTCCTGAAGAACCTCAAATGCTTGCAGAAACTTTGGCAATTGTGACTCCAATGCCAAGTGATCCACAAGCACAACAAAAAATATCATCACTACTCAATGATTGGGAAGACAATGATTCTCAGGAAGAAAACAATTCTGAAGATGCAATAGTTATAAATAAGGAAGCTAATGACACAAATACACCAACCATACCCAAACCTGATATTAAAAGCTTAGTCAGTGACTGGGATGATGATGAAGAAGATAATAAAGAATAATAGTTCATAAAATCATGTTAATAAATCAAGATTTCCTATGACAAGCAATAAGATAGCGAAATGTTCTGATGCTATTATTACACAAAATATCTAACATTTAAGTTTAATATTTTACCTTATTCTAACAACTATCTATAGTTGTTTTTTTTTTTTTATTATTTAAAAATATGTAATTTTAAGTGATTTTGTTAGGTAGCTAAAGTAAATATCATGTAAAGCAATGAACAATGTACTTTATTATTATGACATGTTTGTCAGTAATCTAGAACACCAATAGAGTATTTGTATAAATATATCAAAATATATATATACTACGGTAGATTATATTTGTCATAATAAATGTTAACATTATGATAACTCTAGCATTCGTTGACTACCTGCATTCTTAGAATTTAAGAGAACCTAGCTAATTTTATTTTTTTCTTAAAACTATTTCAGATGAATAAAATCGAGTATATTCTGATGGAAGTATATTCTTGTGTATGTAGTCTTTTTATACATAAATGATTTTAATAATCAATAAATTAAGTTTTTCTTGCTTTTATTTATCTGGAATAGATAATCACTATAAATACTGTTAAGGGGATTGGACATTATCCATTCCTCATGCCTTTATGGAAATAAAAAGAATCCTCCCATTTGATACCAGTTTTATTTAAGTAGACCCACACCCATTATTGTAGACCTGAAATTAAACAACATTTTATAGAAAATTAAACAACATTTTAAACAATGAAATTGATAAATTCAATTGAGCCTTAAAACGGCAGCATTATGACATGCAGAAAATAAGTAGGCAAGCAATGTATGAGATATTTATTTATTCCTTTAGTCAGCCCTACCTTCTAAGGATGGCTCATCTAGTGGTAGTGATCCTGACTACTAATATAATCAGAAGTCGTGGGTTCGATTACCACAAAGGGCAAATGATTGTGTGATGAGCATGATCATTTGTTCTGTCTGGGTGTAAATTTATCTATAGGTAATATATATGTATTTATTCTTCAGTGATCTGGTTACCATGGTACAGGCTATGCCTAGTTTGGGATCAGACGGCCGTGTGAGGTTATTATTGTAAGAAAAGAAAATTGGGAAAGTACTAGGATAATCGAATTGGCAGACAATGTTTTGAATACCTATATATTTTTTAGCTGACTGCTATATCGCCCTAAAAAGATATATTATATATATATATATATATATATATATTAGTGGACATAAAAATACAACTTGTACTGAATTTTTGCACAACCTATTGCAGTGTCTAGTCATCTTGACACTACAAATGATTAGAGGGGAAGAAATACATGTAAGAGATAGTATATTAATGTTTTAATCTCAAAAATATAGTCATATTTCTAATTTTATATGGGATAAAAAGTTGTTAAATAAAACTCAAATAGTCTTTGTTGATTACTTTTATACAGTAGATTTTTTGGCTCTTTTAAAATGAAAAAGCACTTATTTTATCTGTTAATGTATTTCTTATACACCAGTTAACACTAGCTTTGACTCAATATCGAAGTCACACCAAGGTGATAGATACAGTCTCAAGATTCTTGTCATTCCACTAGCTCAAATTAATAGAAGTTTACATTTGACAAAGTTTCACAAATAAGTGGACATAACAATTAAATGCAGACATATACTGTCAACTTCACTTGGTTAATTAACACAGCAGACAGTGGAGGCGAGCGCTGATGCTCCATGCTGATAGCAAGGAGTACTCCCTAAACCAATTCCCAGGCGCTGTTGAAGTGGCATGTGTTGCCCCCATCTGTCATGTGATGGACCCGGAATCAGCACAGTGAATCCATGGATCAATTATCAATCAATCATAGAAATGGATCAATATGGATTTTAGTAACTAACCAGCTTGAGTTGCAAAAATATCCTATCAATCAATTTAAGAACATGTAGTAAAAATAATATAATTATGTTATAGCAATAACATAGTTGAAATCATTTAACTGTATATTATTAACATACACATGTGCCTATTTAAATATATTCACAAATGTATTTATTTAAGACATCAGGAATGCAATAAAAAATTTGATAATTCAATGTGTCGCAAATACAATGCCAATTAAATTACAACCTCAATTTGATTAAGAATTTTAGCATGAATGAAAATGTTATCACAATAAACTACAATTACCTTAATTCAAAGGCTAGCTTGCTTTTCATTGAATGAAACTACATTATACTAAATTGTGAATATATCTTCACACATAATTGTCTTGTTGCTTGGGTGCATAAACATCTAAATTGTTAACATAATATTCAATTAATTACACCTTTGTACAAAGGTTCCAATAACATTTAATAAGGCAGCAAATACAGGTATTATTTAGCAAATAATATGTTCAATGTTTAATCATAAAAAAACATTCAAAACATGATTGTGGACCTATAATGAAACTAAATACAAATAAAAAATTGGGTACCTAGATGTTTCATGAAACTAATAAAATATTAGAATCTTGATAACTAGTAGTATTAAGTGAAGAAAAACAAAGATAATTATAATATAAACTAACTGACCAATGATTTATCTTTAATCTTAAAGCTTTATCACATTAAATCTGATTGCTTATACATGACTATACCAATAATTTTAAGCCTTAATTTATTCAAGTACATGTTGAGTGTTGCAGTAGCAACTTCAAATGCCGAGCATGAAGACATTTTAACTTCAAAATTTGCCTCTAATGGAATACTTGTATGTACAAAATAAATTACAATATTTACATTTAAAACATAGCATAATATTGCCTAATCATTAGATATGGAAACTAATACATATTTGACCATATATGCAAGGAATACAAAGCCTACCAAAACAAATAAGTTTGTCAGAATGTAGTACATGTTTGACTGTTGGTCGGTCATCACTTCACTTTCACTTGTAGAATTTGTGTTATCTGCATGTAGCAAAGCTTCCTGCCGTTGCTTCAACTGCTCTTCGATTTCTTCAACATATTCTGGAAACAACTCACAAAACATTTTGTTCTTTATGTTTATTTCCAATGAGTCAGCTGCCAAACATCGTTTTTGATAATCTGACGTCTCTATAGATCCCAATGTAGGTGTTTTCTCTAGCATAAAACTTAGCAACCCAGTCAAAATAGTTGATATTGACCATGCAGGGTTCCATGTATCGGGGTGGAAATCGGTAATACTAAGGCACAATCGAGTGTTCGTTTTAAACCTTCCGTTTGGCGTAATCATGTAAATGGATGGCGGTTTGAAAGGAAATTCCCTAGGAAATATTATTTTTCCGTGATAGTAACCGCCTTCATAGGGACTCGTCTCTGGTCCTTTGACAACGTAATGCCATTCTAGAATGTTTGATGGTACTGGTTCCGCAGTCACATATGGTACAGGGTCGTTTTTAAGTCTGAGATAATCCTGCTTTAGTCTGCTTGTAGCCCCCGTTACTTTGGTTTTAGCCATGATTTAGTTTAAAGCAATAAACATGAATTAAAATAAGTGTCTAGCACTGTAATCATCCACAGTTTTTTCACAATAAAGTCTATATTATCACTTTTGTCCGATTATAATCAATCGTGAATAAATAAAATAATACGTCAAATGTGGTCAAATGATTCGCAATCATACAATACGACATACGTCATTCATTCAAAGTAGGGATGTGTGTTGCCATAGACTATGTAACACTTCATAATAGGGATGGCATAAAATCATAATCAGATGTGAAAAATCATCGGGTTTATTATTCATATCATCACTCCCGTGACTGATTTACAAAACCACTGCTACTTTATTATTATTACCCTAGCACAAGACTAGCGAAGAAAAAGGTCGTAATCTTTGATATTGATTAACTTTAATGGGATTTATCTTTGTCTATGACGAAATCAATTAATTGACTGAAACCAATCATTTCATCAGATGAATATGATTTAAAGGTAGCAATAATTTACATGACTACTACGTAATGTTTGTAATTTGTATACTCCTTTATGCATATAATGACAAATTCTCCTATTACGTAGGTACACGAGCGTAACTATCTTACATGAATAAGAAAAAAGGGTGCAACTAAAAGCAGTTAGCTCTAATTATTTTTTTTATCAATTTCCATTAAAGGTGGTGCCGTAACCATAACTAGAACGCGTAGCAAAAATAAATATAAATATTTAAATATAGTCTCTTATTAAAAGTAAATATAGATGTAATAGTAGTAAGTAAACATAGAGTAAAAATTAATCAAAACTATAAAATAAACTTAAAGACTTTACTAAAAAAACATTTTATCTATTCATGAACTTTACGACTCACCAAAAAGATATATTTGAATTAACCCCCTTCACTCTACATATAGCTGCTAAATCCTGGTCAATTAAAACATTTAAGAAAATCCTTTTCATGTTATTTGCATACCTCCTACAGCACACGTTATTAATCTTGCGGCTGTTAAAAACTACTAAATTCATATCGTACACATTGTCCATGCTAGCGCAATTCTTGAACTATTATTCAATTCTTTTTCTTCAACACTTTCAGTTTACTCTTATATAAGGTAATGCTTCCGACCTCTACACTCCAGTTTTCATGTCCCTTGCATTGAAAAAGTATTTCTACCGTAAGGCTATGGGCAATCCATACGAACTTTAGACCAAACTATTTACGATAAATAAAATCCTTAAATGAAAAAAAACTGAATGCAATGGGAGAGGCCTATGTCCAGCAGTGGACTGCGGCTGATGGTGATGAAATAAAAAAATGCTGAAAAGTATCTTCACAGCAAACTTTCGAACCCAAAACATGATCAAAGCAATTACCGGTAATTGCCGGTAAGTGACGGATTACATTTGTCGTTAGAGCTGACTAATGGAACAAACTACTCAGAACAACAGCACTGCAAAAAGAAGGACAGCTTGAAACAACACCTTTACCAGCGTGGTATAGTAGGCTAAAATCTCCTTTCGAAGAAGAGGCCTACGTACTGCAGTGGACTGTTAAAGGCTGTTGATGTGTATGTGTTCTCTGCATCGCCCAATCGGTCGACTAGTAAAGAATACCTCAGGCATTAAGCCCGTCGTTGCATGTATGCTAATACACAAAATTGTAAAAATGAAAAAGAAATAAATAAAACTTTCCTGCTCAGGTACAAAGTGAGACAGCAGAAATGTAAGCATACCAAAACTAGAATGGGATAAGGTTACGTCCTTATATAGTCTACTTAATGCAGTGGAGGAGTAAGTTAAATTATTATTATTATTAGAAATTAAATTATTATTCTCTTTATTTACTTTATATACATATTATTTACATTTTTAAACATACACTTTATAAAAAATTATAAAAAAATACATTTAAAAATATAAAAAATAGTAGACCACCGACATCGGGTACAGGGACCAAGACACCGGTGGTTAGGACTCCAAAGATAGGAACCTCCTCACTATACGAGCCGTGTCAAGGAGGACTGCCTTCTGCATCAGACCCTTGATCCAGCCGTCCAACGTGAGCCTCTTAAGGTGTTGGTCGAGGCTCTTGGCTTTCAATCCGTAAGCAGATACGACTATCGGAACAATGATCACTGAATCAACATTCCACATATCGACAATCTCGTGAGATAAATCCAAATATTTAATTTGTTTTTCTTTTTCAACTTTCACGAGATTCTCGTCATGAGGAACGGCGATATCAACAATCATTGCGCGGCGCTCTAATCGGTCTATCAGCACAATATCAGGCTTATTGGCAACAATAGTCCTGTCTGTGATAATAGATCGATCCCAATACAACGTGGCCCGACCATTCTCGAGAACTGGGTCGGGCACATACCTGTAGTATGGCACCTCTAGATTCACAAGATGGTATTTAAGGGCAAGCTGTTGGTGTACGATCCTGGCTACTTGGTTGTGCCTGTGCAAATATTCTCCGTTAGCAAGACGAGAACAACCAGAAATAATATGCCTGATTGATTCGCCAGGACGGTGGCATGCCCGACAGATGTCAACCGTACCATCTTTCAGGATATATTTCCGATAGTTATTCGTCATGATAACTTCGTCCATAATCGCACAAACAAAACCTTCAGTTTCTCCGAAGAGATCACCATACCGTAGCCAAGTCGTAGATGCTTTTAAATCTATATCGGACCCGTTTAGGGCCCGATAAAACCGACCATGGAGCTCTTTGCCCTTCCATACTTCCCTGCGATCATTAACACCAAGTACTACAGGTCTGCGCCAATTCTCTTTAGCCAGAGCGAGCGGGGTGAAGCCGGTATCCACTGCAACTACATTGCGATGCACTCCCACGTCGGTATGTAGAAAATATTCTCTGAGATTGCATATCTCGCGATTATGTAGGGTCTTGATATTTAATAGTCCGCGACCCCCAAGCTTTCGCGGGATATACAATCTCATAACTGATGAACGTGGGTGGTGCATTCGGGATGCAGTCAGCAGTGTGCGGACTTTCCTGTCAAGGGCATCTAATTCGGTCTGAGTCCATCTAAGTATACCAAAGGAATACATCAGAACCGGCATGACCCAACCATTGCAGGCTCGCACCTTGTTGCCCCCTGATAAAAGACTTTTAAGTACTTTTTTCAAGCGGCCAAAAAAGCGTTCCTGCAATGTTTGTTTCATGTTAGATTCTGGTATTCCCAACGACTGTGATATACCTAGATACTTGTAAGTTTCAGTGGCAGACAGAGATCTGAGTTTTGTTGAATCTGAAAGCTCTATTCCTTCAGATTCAACTATCACACCCTTCTTTACATACATGACTGCACACTTGTATACACCAAATTCCATTTTGATAGAATTACTAGTTTTCCGTCAAATTATTATTATTATTATTAAGTTACAACGGCTGTCAGAATATCCGTCATTTTAATAAAAAATTCGGTCCGTGTGGTGACGGATTAAGAATACAGAGTGTCACCACCCCTATTCATCCCGTGGTTGTCGTAAGAGCCGACTAAGGGAAAAAACTAAGCAGGACAACAGCACTGCAGAGAGAAGGAAAACTTGACACAAACCCTTTACCAACCCGTCTGGCCAGCGTGGTATAGTAGGCCAAAACCTCCTTTCTCAGGAGAGGCTTATGTCCAGCAGTGGACTATTAAAGGCTGTTGATGATGATGATGATGATAATAAAAAATTAATGTTGAAAGTAAAAATTTTTTTTTCAAAATAGTTTATTTAATAACAAAACAAGCTTTAACTTATAACATCAGCATCACAAAATATAATTATAACAGTCATGAGGTCAACAAAACATAATAATAAACCATAATATATAATTAAATTTATGATTGGAATTTCACTTTCGTCGTCATGTACCACAATTGAGTAGCATGTTTCGTATTTCGTGATTTAGATTTTTGATTAAGTCTTCATCGGGACTATCTTCCTCTATGAGCTTGTCACGCTGAGCTATTAATTCGTTTATTCTTTCGTTTAGAGGATTTTTAGGCACATTCCTGTAAAATAAGAACACCATCATTTAGAAAAAAATAAGTTGAGTCATAGATTTTAATGTGATGTGTGTAAAACTGTATTTTTTAATTCACAACTATCAGAGAGAGATTGATACTTGAGGAATCTAACTCGTTTTACGCATCAAACCAAATTGATACGATCCTAGCACAAACTTTAGGAGACTAAAATTTCAGGTGTACTTACTTCAAATCATTTAACATCTGTATTTCATCGGGTACAGCCGTATCTAAAAATATAATAAAGGTTACATTTTAAAGTAAAGCATCCTCTTTTGCTCGTGGACGTGGAATTACAACAGATCTAACAAATTCGCTACACTGACAGGCTCTACCAAAATGCCCAAAGTCAAGTCGTGTACCACAGTCATATACGACTACGAGTCGTAAATGAGGTAGTCCACTTATACCCCCGACATTCTTTAGCCACAGATTAAATCAATTACAAAAGATAGTACAGAGCTCTCACAGCGTCTTAGTACTACACTTATCAGCTTACCAGTTTCAAACCAATTTTAAAATATATATAAATTTAGGTACATACCTATTAGAGGAGTTCCAAGAGCGGGCGTATTCGCTAATAGGTCCACATAGAAGTCATCTTTGAGTTTCTTCAGATCCACTGGATTCTGGTTTGTGTTTTTTTCCAGATCTTCTATTGTATCCAGCCTGTAAACACATTTGATAAAATTTTTGTACTAGATAATATATTTCGTTGATAATTTCCAAAAAAAGGCTTGTGAATTTCCAAAAAAAAAACACAAGTTATCTCCTTTATATTTACACGATTGTGCCAGAGAGAGGGTTATATTTTGCGAGAGTATGTATGTATATTTCTTTATATTTACAGTTGCGGCCGGTACTAGGCCGAAAAATTTCTCGGAGTTCTCTCCATGATATAAACGATAGAGAATGCAGAGTAAATTTACAGCAGCTTTATGGATTTTGGCTTGGGAGGTGTCGTTATATTTGTCCTAATTGTGAGTAACATTTTCAGGTAGTCGGATTTTTTAATAATTAGTTTATTGTCTTATCAACTATGTAGTCAATGGCTTCAATCAAACGAATTATTTTCCATGCGTATGAAAGTATTCGGATAATTTCCCGTTAAAGGTGCGACTTAGAGAATGTTTTTGGATTGTTGCTGATTCAGTAAAATAGTGAGGTCCAGATGTGGCCCGAAAACAAACCAAAAAGACGGTGCTGCATCTATAGTGCACATGCAGGAATTAATTATTTGATCAACCAACCAAGCGTGATTTGAGAAATTGTTAAAATAAAATCTATTTTCAGTTAGAAAATGCCTGAAATTATAGACAGTAGATGAAAAGTTAAAAAGCTTTTCGTGGTATTGACATGTGATGAGGAGAGATGAGCAAAGTTTTATTATTGTATGGAAATTGACGAATAATCCGTAAAAGAGGATATGACTAGAAAGAGTCAGCAATGAACTGAAGAATAATAAAGGAGAATGGACAAAGAAATGTCATTGCGCCGACCTCAAATAAGTTTGGGAAAAAGGCACATCTACTCGATCATGACGGTGACCGCGTTCGGCTTTTGCGATTGGTCCGCACTGAGAACTTCAGCAATCGCAACGCCAAATGCGCTCGCCGTGGAGAGCCAGTTGATGAGAAATAAACTCATACTAGGTCCTCTGATATCGTTTTTAATACTTTGAGGTTGAAACTTAATTAAAACTTAATAGTTACCCCATTTCACCAAGTTCTTTTCTATCGTGTTTCAACTGCGTGAGCATTTGTTTCCTCGTATTGAGCTTGATGAGGTGCAACTCACGAACTGCTCGACCCCACTGTTCCTTGAAGAAAGCCTTTGATTGCACGGCGCTGTCCAACTTCTCTTCTAAGTATCTCTGACAATAAATTACGAATTTAATAAATTTTTTGTCGAAATAGTAATATACCTACAATAGTAATTTAAGCAATAGTTACACTATTACAATCACTCATGTATTATATAACTTGAGCGTTCCTAAATTTACGAGTACTAAAGTTAAAATGAAAAAATAAATTATTTAATTATTATGTTATTATTTTCAGTCTCTTAATATTCTTTATCGTTGAACTCAAGAATAAAACTCAATAGTTAGGTATATGTTCATATTAACAAAAAAACTACAAATAATTATCTTATTATTATGACTAACAATATGGTTAAAACATAGTATATCTAAAAATTAACATACTAGATCTAAGATAAAAAAAAAAACGAAGTAAATAGAATTCATCATCATCATCATCATCATCATCATCATCAACAACCTTTAACAGTCCACTGCTGGACATAGGCCTCTCTTTAGAAAGAAGGTTTTGGCCTACTATACCACGCTGGCCAGACGGGTTTATATAGGGGTTGTTTCAAGTTTTTCTTCTCTTTTGCAGTGCTGTTGTCCTGCGTAGTTTGCTCCCTTAGTCGTCTCTTACGACACCCACGGGATGAATAGGAGTGGTGACACTCCGTATTCTTAATCAGTCACCACACGGACAAAATAGAATTAGCGCACATATATAATTTTCTCAAAAATTCCAAGTCACCAAACACACGGCGCGGCGTAGTTACTTCGATAATTTGGCGTACAACTTGTACAGAGTGTTCAACTTATCAAGTTCTTGGAACATTATCGATTAAAACAGAACTAACCAACTCCTGTATAAGACTTGCAGTTTGATCTTTCGTCAGTCCTGAATATCGATTCTCGGCTTCTTTTTCAGTATTCTTTATATTATTCTGAAATTAAATTCAAATAAAAAATATTAAGCCGTCACGGGTAGTCTGCAGATGTAAAACATCAAAAAAAAAATTATGTAGAAATAATCACCATCCCGCATTACATAGTGTGGCAATGCATGCCGTGGCGACGCGTCGCCACGCCAACAGCCGGTCTGACCCTCCGCATTAGATGATCTACATCATTAAGTAACTTTTTTGCATTCTTACAACAAACCCGCATAAGAAATCTAAACTACTAGTGATATTTGCATGACAATAAAACACTGTAACGCTGTAACTAAGGGTCTGAGCTTACTAAACAATATTCAGTAATGGCAGACGTTTTTAATTCCTTGTGTAGGTAGCAAAGTCAACCATTCTTTACAGTTTTTAAGTAAATAAGGCAAGTGCTAATTAAATTCTAGTATCACATAATCCGTACGTGGCGTATCATAATGCTTCGTAATTATGAGTCGCCACGACCGGGTTTTTGCTGCTTTGCACCGAGTGAATTCATTAATTAATATAAAAATAAAATTTTACAAAAATTACCTTTAACACATCCACTTGTTTTTCGAGTTGTTGTATTTTAAGGTTAAGTTCATCAATCTTCATATCTTTCAGTTTGAGTTGATGATTCATGTCATCCTCCATCTTCTGTGATGCTTCTCTCAACTCTTGATATTTAGCTGTGTAGTGTGCTTCTAAACCTTTCTTTGCGTCTAACAGCTGAAAGAAAGCAAAATATTTAAGACCATGTTTTTTTAAATTTAGGTATTGACTACGTAAACGTGGTATATAAATCGTGGCAAAGTAAACTAATTGCATGCAATTTATAAATTGTTAGTATCTAAGGGTTTACTTATTCATGTCAGGTCAGATCATAAATCAATGAGATTTGAAAAATATTTTTTTATTAATGTTTTAATTCGGATAAAACACAAAAAGAAAATTGTTAACAATGACTATTATTTTGTTTAGCTGACGATAAATTTTATAAACAACTAGCTGAACCATGCCACGCCTCGCTGTGGCACATTATGGTTGCATTGATGAGGAATGAAAAACAAAATTAACGCAAAAAAATAGATAGAAACAATCTTAGAGCCCGGTTTGAAATTTGAGCTCAATCGGTGTAGAACTTTATGAGTTTTTAGAGCGTACAGAAACCAACTTAAAATCTGTTTGTATATAGATTGTAATTTTGATAAAGAGATACCACAATACTGTATAACTAAACTCTTGCATTGACCGACAAGACGGAAATACAGTCTACTTTGAGAAAAAAATATGTAATAACTCTCCCTTGATGCTAGGCGTGGTTGACTGGTACCCTCTCTACGATTACCAGTTTAGTAAGCATTACAAATAACTAATGACAGCTAATGTCACAACAATACTCTAGATATAAAAGTATTTAGTTTTGAGAGTACTTCAGAAGGACTGTCTTTCCAATATTTATACCTTTTTCTCTCTCTCCGTATTCCTGAAGCCCTTCAATCTGAAGTCTTCAGTGGCTCTGCTGAGGTCCGCAGCCAGGTTACGGCACTGCTCGATACCTTTGTTCAGTTTGTACTCTAGTTCCACACGTTTCTTTGTCCACTCATTAGCTAGAAGCTCCAGGTGATATTCTTCTTTTCTCTTCAACTGTGCAATATAAAAGAAGCGTATTTTTAACAAGTACTTATTTTAATTGAAAGATAAAGTTCTCTGCTTGTGTATTGTAAACGAATCAATCAAAGTCGTATTTTTCTTTTTAAAATACTGATAGTAAATGTAATTTATAGTGGTGTATCGAAACCCTATTAAGATTTATTATCATTTCAGAGACAGGACGTTTACTGGACATAGACTAGGCATTAGCTATCAAAATAGAACTTTATTTACTCGTGATAAGAGTTGCTATTTATTAAAATGGCACGTTTTAGTACCTAAATCATTTTTTATCCAAACAGGTGATATTCTGTGATGTAGGTGCCCTAATTATTATTTCGGAAAAGCTGATAGAATGTTAGTAATAATTAACTTTAGTTCTTCCACTAACTTGGCATTTAAATAACTCCTGTTGCTTCTCCTTCCAATCTTCCAAATCATCCACAAACTTCTGCATTATTGCGTCTCGTTCCACAACTGAAAGGGCTACTTTTGCCATGTCTGAAATATCAATTGCATTTTATTGTCTACTTACAAAAGCTGAATTTCAAACTGTTGTTGTATAAGTTTTATAGTCAAATGTTGTTATCTCAATCATTTAAGGCAATTTTAGTTGATATTTGTAAATAATGCAATAACCACATCCATATTTACAATGCCTGGGTGAAATTAGCTATAAAATATATATGTTTAATAACATCTGGTTTCCATAGTATAGTGCAATCCAAATGCCAGGTGTGTGATTTCTGAATTTATTATTGTTAAGAATTATTATTTTTACCCCTTTTTAAACAAATACACATCATATCATGTTAGAAATACTTAATGTTTATATATGGAAGAAGTGCAGAGAGCTAAAAAATTTATATTAATAGATTTGTTCTATGAAGTTAAAAATTATGCAGAACTGGCTACATTAAACTATAGGAGTAACTATATTTTCACCTGTCATAGTACAAAAGTCTATAAAACGACAGTTCAAGATATACTGGTCAATAAAATAAAACACACATCACATCAATAGCCTATAGTCCACTGCTGGACATACCACGCTGGCCAGACGGGTTGGTATAAGGTGTGTCAAGTTTTCCTTCCCTATGGAGTACTGTTGTTCTGCGTAGTTTGCTCCCTGACTCCTCGGCTCTTACGTCACAAATTGGATCAATAAGGGTGGTGCCACTCCGTTTCCTAATCCGTCACCACACGGACACAATAAAACAAAAGCATTCAAATGCTTTTGTACGGACGGATCTCTGACCGCCTAGCGATGTTTAATTATAATAATTTTTATCTGTGCATAAGCATTGTTCAAAAAAGCGCTAATATATGTGTCTTATAAAAATATTATTATAAAAAAATACCCCAAGAATATATTTATTTTTAATAACTGGTTACCTCTTTCACCCTGTTGTGTTACATATGAATCGCTTTTGCAGGACTGTAGTTTGATAGGTTCACTGAAATAAAAAACAATACTGCAGTAGTATCACTATATTAATTAAAAAATGTTATAAAAAAAATATAACAATTTTCTGATCGTCATGCAAAAATATTGAAACATATAGGACACCTTGCGTAAGCTGAAGTAGCTGATACCCTCGCATAACACATAGGCTACATTTTTATCCCGAAAAAATTTAGTGTGCAAAATATTAGGGAGCCTCTCCTCAGGTACGCAGTTATCGCGTCGGCTGTTATGGAGGATTGGTTCGAGAAGCATCACGGAACCCTCTCATACTGGCTGACGCAGGTGATCACCGGGAAAGGATGCTTCGGAGATCACCTGTGTCTGATCAGCTAGGAGCCACCACTACGATGCCCGGCGTGGGTGGAGCAGAGGCGTGACCTCGTGGCGGCCATCATAGTGGGCATTCTCTCGCTCGGTAACACGATCGCCACCATGGCACAGAGTGAGAGTGCGTACAACTCCGTCGTCTCCTTCTGAGAGCAAGTTATGCTTGCGAAAGAGATGGCGGAGCGGGAACTATGCACAATTAAATAACATGTATAGAATAATCTAAAACATTTTCTAAACTTAGTCAAGCCTATTGTATGATTGAACGTGCCTCGCATAAGTAAATTAGAGCATTAAATTTTTACCTTTCGATAGGTTGCTCTCTTGCATCGACTTTATCTGAACTGGCATCATCTTGCCTCTCCTCGCATTGTACTTGCATGTCTGCTGTTGTAGGTTTTAGCTGACATGCCAATAGTTTCTCCTGGCTTAGTGTGAATGAATCACACATTTTTTTAATCAGATCTGCTATTTCATTTGTTTTCAAAACTGAATCCCCTGAAGCATTTTTGTACCTGTAATAGACAATAATATAGAAGTTACAACAAATATATATAGAAATTGTGAGCCACAAGCTGAATGACATTCTGACTAGACCAATTTGTCAGAATAAATAAAGATTCCTAAATGAGACTGACACTGGATGACTGTAACACTTGGCAATAATTATATTAACTTTCAGTTATGAAGGGTTTCTCAACAATTTCTTTACTTCACGATCAAAAAAAAAGTATCAACTATTTGCCTATACACAAATAAACTTGGAAAAATCGTCACGGGATCGACTTCAATTATTTTATTGGTGAGGCCTATTAATATCAAAATAAAAATATTCGGCAGGTTATCTAAGTATCAACTATTTGCCTATACACAAATAAACTTGGAAAAATCGTCACGGGATCGACTTCAATTATTTTATTGGTGAGGCCTATTAATATCAAAATAAAAATATTCGGCAGGTTATCTAAATTAGGTGAATTCATTTTAGTACGAAGTAGCCAGGAGACAAGGTAGCTGGGACAGACTAGATGAGGAATGAGGTCAGTACCCAGTACTATAAGAACTACTACTTCAAGAAATTACCTGGCAGTGTTGCTAGCTGCCATATTAGTGTATGCTACTCCACCTAGATCTTGCTGCAAGTTGGTGCAACTGCCGCTAGTAGGGAAATTGATCGTAGCTGCTTCCGATACAGGCTTGCCTCTCCCGCTTTCTAGTTGTGTTACGCTACGGGCGGTCAGGTTCTTTGGTTTCTGAAAAATTAGATATTTTCTTAATAAAGCACGAGAAGTCCGACTAGATTCTAGATTCTTTGCATCAGCAACCTAGAATCAGAATCATTTATTTGTAAACATAGGTCAAATTACAATAGAGTGTGAGATGTTATGGATAGGTAAGTCCTCTATGTTTTGCCCAGGGGCGTACAAATATACACATTTTACTTTTTAAAATATCATAAATTTGTAGGATTATTTAAACTTCCACATTATTAATAACGTCAATGATAATAATTAATAATCACATGCATGTCAAAATAAATAAAAATACAGTCAATTTTAATAAATGTCAAACAAATTAATTTAATGTGAATTCAAAATCATTAGGATAGTCGAGGTATTGAGTTTTGACAATTTTCTGAAGCAGTAATTATAGAATTGTCGTCCAAATAGTCCTTTAGTGAGTAATAGCACTTACTTATCAAGATCTTTAATACTTCTCTTTTAAAATTGGCCAGAGTTAGCGTTTTAATTTTTAGATAGTTCGGTCTAGGTTGAATTTGTTATTCAAGTGGTCACCTCACCAACTATCATGTCTCATATCATCTGTACATTCGATTACATCGAATCGATTCCCATACGGAACAATAGAATAATATTTTACGAGTCATCATTTTTTGACGGTGGGATTTGTATCTGAGAATCACATAGTTATAAAGCGGTACGTATTATTACTATATACATAACTTCAGTTGCTAATCAACATTTGTCCTCACTCTCCTATCCTCTCTCCCTTCCCTCACCCCGGGCTCAATTTATTAAAATAATGCCCGTATATCAGCTGGCAACTCACACGTGGCGTGTAGCGCAAACAAGACTTTTATATGAAACACAATGCAAATAAAATCCGCGAATCATTCTATATTGTTTGGCCTGAGAAAGACTTAAAAAATACACTAAGCAAATAATGGACAATATTTCCGTCCTGAATATGTACCTGTACATCACTCCTAACGCCGATATACTTCAAGCTCATTTCAATGTCGACGTAGGGCCTCCGTGTATGGTCGGTGGGTACGTCGTCACATCGCAAAATGAAGCATCTCTCGTGTATGACCAGAGCTCCGTCTACGTTACAGAACTTGTTTACAAAGTAACCCGTGTCTTCCGTTGGGATTATCTTGCGAAGGTCCACGCTGCAGATGCCTGATTAGAAATTCAATTATTATACAGGATTTGCAAATAAGTTCACTAGTAAAATTAATTAATCACGGCTAATGACTTGATATAAATATTTTAATATTCAACTTTTTAGTGTACAGAATGTCGTCATCGAAGCCTATACAGAAGGTCAAAGGGTGAGGCACGAAGAGAGAAGACAATGGTCATCTTCATCGCATGCCACTTGGACAATGGGCTTTCTTCCACACAGCTATCAATTTTTTTATAGGGAGTAAATGACCGCAGACCCGTCACCTGATGATAAGCGACTACCGCCACCCACAGACACCTGCAACTTAAAGAGTCACAAGTGCTTTGCCGACTTTTAATTGTCCCATGATTACCATGGCACAAGTACTGCCTAGTTTGGAATCAGACGGTTGTGTGTGTGATGTGTGAAGTTATTATTATTATTATTAATTTAACGAAAGATTTGCTTAACACTGGTTTGATGTGAGAGCGTTGTAAAAAACATGTCTCTCCCAGACAGAGAAGGTCCTCAGAGGTATAGAGAGCCATCCCATTCCACTATTTCTTTGTTTGTAATTTTTTACAATTGTAAAAAAATATTAATTTAAGTATTACCTATATCTTTCTCATTCGTCCAGATCTTAATGACGAGATGCGGGCACTGTGCGAAGTATCTGCTGAGGGTGGCGAGGTCTGAAGCTACTCGGAGTGACGTGCGCTGGTTGAACTGTGCGTTACTGCCCGCACTACCTGACACAGCTGCCACTCTAAATGTAAATAGAATCAAATTTAAAAAATTAAACTATTTCGAATCTCTATACTAAAAGCTCTTAATAAATGCAATATAAAGTTTGAAAAATCAGAGATACGTCACAGGTATTGACTTCAATCATATTATACAATACCATTCAGTTATAAAAGCCATATAGTTACGTCTTAGCAACATTATTTTGTAATTTCCGTGCTCCATAGTGCAATAAGTACTTAAATTAGAAAAAAAAACGAGGAGTTGGGAAGAGCTTACTCAAAAAAGTATTAGATCCCAATTAAAAACGGCCTCCTTAAAGTTTATTAAAGTCATTGTTCATATTAAATATCTGATACTACTTCTTTTAAAGTTCGCCTTAAAAAAAATTGTTATGTTTTTCTAAGAAAATATATGTATGTTCTAACCTGTCTGTCATAATATTGTGTGTGAATACAGTATAGGTGACATAGCAATCGGTCTCTTTATTATCTTGCTCTGGTATCAACTGGAATTGTGAGATTTTTTTAATATTAAAATCTAAATAAGTAATAAAAACTTCGCACCTCACACACGGGCGTCTTGCCAAAAGTAGGCATTATATACCTACTTTTATAAAAAAATAATCTACAAGACTACAACCACATGGTGTGCCGTTCCGTGCTATGGTAACCAGACTGCTAATAAACATACATATTTCTGAATACTTTAGATAAATTACACAAAGATACAGAAAAAAATATTGTGTTCATGACACAATTGACGGGCTTGGTCTAGTGGTTAGTGAACCTGACTGCCAAGCCAGAGGTCGTGGGTAGAATTCTCACCCAGGACAAATAATTGTGTGATGAGCACGATGATTTGTTCTGTGTCTGGGTGTAATTTATCTATAATATCTACGTATTTAGAAATATATAAGTGTTTTATCTGCAGTTACCATACAGGCTCTGCCTCGTTTGAAATCAGACGGCCGTGTGTAATGTGTGAAGTTAAAAAAAAAAAAAACTCGTCAACCACGCCTCCTGATTTAGCAGTTAGTCATCACTACACTAGACCAACAAGTCAGTCACTAAGTCGCGTCGAAATGAACAAAACCATTCTCACCAAATCTAAATTCTCCACAGCTCCAATAACAAAACTAAGAACAAACAGTTCTTTTCCTCTTCCGATTTGTATGAGCCCCTCGTCACATATCAACTTCGGTTGTAAATCAGGTGTTGAGACGGTCCTTTTACTTTCAGCTAAGTATTCGTCTGGAAATAATAAAAGTCGTTTTTTTATGAGTTACACTTTGCATCTCACTTTCTTGCTTGCATCTGTGGAAGGGACGGAAATGTTTAACAGGAATCGCGCTATTTGATTTCGTTATCAAAGAGCATGCGCGGTAATAGAGTTGGCCGTCAGTATCGTTGTATGCGACAACTTTAAGACTCATTTGTTTTTCTTCCTAATAATACCTACTAATGACTAAAGTTATGTCTACTGTTCATTAATATACGCGATACTGATAATACCACTTTAAGTTATATATCATCATCATCAACAACAACCTTGAATAGTCCACTGCTGGACACATTCCCCTCATTGGAAAGAAGGTTTTGGTCTACTGTACCACAATGGCCACTGTGGTATAGTAGGTTTGTTTCAGGTTTTCCTTTTCTATGCAGTGCTGTTATCTTGCTCCTTTAGTAGCTCTTACGACACCTATAGCATAATTAGGGGTGGTGACACACCGTATTATTAATCTGTCACCACACGGACGATCGTAATCTAAGCTTTCTGCAATAATCCAATTATCATACACCAACATTACGACATTACGTGAGAAAATAGTGTGTGCAAATGTGCAAGAAATTTACAATGCCACTTCAAAACATTTACCTGACTGCACGCAAGTGAGAGTAACTCATATACTTACTTAAAGTCATTAACATAGATTTCGCTTGAGGCGTTTGTGGTGCCGAGTTTTTTGATGGATACGCAATTTCATTGCTGTGAAACATTCGCAATTCGTTTCTCTGGAATAGTAAAAAAAGAGTAAATTTATTAGTAAATTATAAAGAAGCTTTTACACATAACATCTAAAAATTATGCTTTTAAGTGTTAGCCAGAGATCATCATCATCATCTCAGCCTAAAGAGCTCCACTGCTGGACATTGGCCTCTAACTAAGAACTAGCCAACTGAAGTGGCAATGAGCTGCTAATATTTACCCTAGTTCACAGATTTACCCTAGTTCAGGCAGGCAGTGACTAAAGTTAATACTAAATCTTGACTTGAACTAACTCTTAATACCTTTATGTGTAAAAATATAAGAATAAAATAATATAATAATAATAATAATATAATATAAGAATAAAATAATGCTACTATAGTTTTACGCTAGTGTAACTTAATCTAATTATTGCTTAGGATCTATTTTAAATCAAAATGTGCTACACTGTAATGTATATTGGTCAAATAAATAAAAATTATATTGTTTACAGAACTAACAATAGTGTTTCTGTATTATAAACTTGTTGTTGGTATTAATAAAATATTCTCTTACAGGAGTAGGTGTGTTGATCCTATCTTCGATAGAGAGGCTCGTCATTAACTGAGGATGACAGCATTTGCCTTCAGACTTTACTCCTAGCAATCTATGCCATGCATGTTTTACCTGAAAACATGCAAATTGATATCTCTGTAGTTCATATTGTCTAACTCACAAATTAATAAACTTAAAAAAAAATAATTAAATAGAACAGCATTTTTTTTTTTTATACAATAGTATTATGATGGGAACAAACACAAAACATAATATTGTGAAGCTCCAATCTTTATTCATTTTACTATCCATTATTTACTTGTAATGTTGTTTATTTGCAACTGTACTAGTAAATATACTAGAAATGTCTCTGCACTCTCTCCTTATGACCCTGAACTGTCAATGACAAAGACATTTTTATTTGTTAACACATGAGTATACATATGCAAGATGTTTAATAAATTAGGTTATAGACAATCATGTTTAGCCATTGTAGCATACAAATATAGTTGAACTTTCTTTTTTAAGAGTCTTGTAGTTAATGACAGCACAGCTGAAATGAATCCTAACTTAATATTAAAATCATAAGAGTGAGTTGGTTTGTTTGTTAAACTCTTGCACTGCAAACACTCAACTGTTAATCATTTGAATGAATTGATTGACAAAATCTACATTCATTTGCAGTTAAAAACAAGTTTTAAATACTGATTTAATAGTTATACATAGTTGAAGTTTTATATTAAATATAACAAATGTTGTGACAAAATGACTATTGGATGTAAATATGTTATCAATTTAGAATGACATACATCAACAATCTTGTTAGAAGGGCATGGTTGAGCACCAAGTAAACTCAGGAGCAAATAGCCAATCTTGTCTTTCCTGCCTTGTGTTCCCATTGTAAACACTTCAATTTTGACGGGAACATTTTGAACTCGTAAACTAAAACAAAATCAAGCTATTGTCAAAACCCTATGGTAAAGTTATTAATAATATTATATTAATATCTTACTACTACTTATGTTTATAGTACATAGGTACATCATAACGCATAGAAACTCGCAACACATATGGAAAAGTTAAATTATACTATTTTTTTATGTGCGCTACGGAAATTTATTTGTAGGATTATTAGAAAAAATTGCTCATGATTTAGCGAAGAGTTGTAAGTTGAACTTTTATTATTGGCTTGCCTGCGAAACCTTCTTTTGTCTGCTTCCCAAACAAGTTCAGCGTCAAAAATAGGTGCATGTGAAGGTACTACAGGATCAGTTTCCAACATATACCCATTAAGGGATCCACTCACTATGAAAGGAGCCTTCAAAAATCCAAATCCAAGACCTAAAAATATCGCATTTCATTGTTATTTAAAATATTTCGTATAGAAACAGTTCATTAAAACAGAAACAAAAACCTTCTTTGACATGAAGTACTATCTGTATATTAGGCCCTCTTAATTCGTCCATTTATATTTACTTCGGCAAACGACAAAAAATAATAAAAATTCAAATCAAACGCAACTGTAAACATTGCTTTCCAAAATCAAGAATGACAGTGTTTCTTTGGTGTTGCTCTTGTTTAAAAAAGTAGAACAAAGATATATTTACTATAGCAACACCATGTGTATTTTTATTTTTAAGTAATATTACTCTTTGTTTTTATTTTAATACACTTTCATTTGAATTAAAGGTTAAGGATAAGGAGTACTAAAAGATTTCATGAATATTTTTAGAGATTTTTATAACCTGCAATTAAAATTATTTATAGAATTCAAAGTACCTACTTTCTTAAAAAATAATATTTAAAACTATAGATGCAATGTATTTTTTACAGTTGTTTATGTAATAAAATTATCATAATTTTTCAATTATATTTAACTACATGGACATTAGAATAAATATTTAATATACTGAATTGACTACAGAAAAAACGACAAGCTTTAACTCCTCTTTCCTGAAGAATAATTTCGTAAACGTCAAATAACATAAACAAATATTGTTCAGTAAATGTTATATTGTAATGAATTTGTATCTGATTATTATAAGAATTTATATGTGTAACTAAGTTTTTTAAGACTCGGCGATGAAGAAGTTTTTATACGAATATAAAGCTTTAAAAAGTAATTCAGTTCGAGACATAAGTATAAGGTAAACAAACGTTTGTATACTTTTAACATGTTTTATTATTTATAACTACCCTTAATCTATTCTTAAGTTAGTAAAAATATAAATTTATATTGTACGGTAGTTGAAGTACATTGCCGTTTGGTGAATCATCTGTGACCGAAGCACACTAGACTTGGCGAGACCCTATATTCGACAACCGGCGCGCATGAAGTGGATCACCGGAGCGCAACGAAAAGTAATTTGAACAAAAAACTAAATTCAACTCATTGCGAATGCCGCGTTGTTCGTGATGTTTTGTCTGACCGCACAATATATCGGCGGTCATTGTTGCTAGTCGTTTTTTGTAACGATCGGACTTCTAATGCGCCGGTAATGTCCCGCGTGCTCCCCGTACTGTCGGTCTTTCTTTTAGAAATAGTTACTTTACTAGTTGTAATAGTAATAGTTGATAATTACCGATCTTCTAATCTATGTGCAAACTTTATTGAAGAAGAAAGTGGATTCTTCGCAAGATATGGGAGTTTTTAAGTGGTTGCGACGGTAAGTACGTTTCATTTTTGTATTTCGACAAGATTCATTGTTTCGAAAAATTATCTTAAGACTAAGAAAATCTTTTAAATTTTACTATTTTATGCTATACTAGCTGACCCTGCAAACGTTGTTTTGCTATTTACATTATTTAAAAAAAAAAAAATTTGAATTTCTTAAAATCCGTTCTTAGCTGACCTCTACTCGGTGAAAAGAATATTCCTACCAAATTTCAAGTCTTTAGCTCTAATGGTTCCAGAGATTATCAGCTTTCGATGTCCGTTCACAATGTTCTATTTATGCTAAGCCCGTAAAAAGTAACAAAATGTTTGTTAACAATGAGACCTGTGTGCATATTGTACCTACCCAGGATGATGTAAGTGGTCCACCTAATGTTGAATCATCAGAATTGTACAATACATTTGATTTTATTCCAATAGAGGCCACCAGCATTGTGTAGTATTGCCAATACCGCAATACAAGTGAATGCAGATAATTATTGCAACCAAGTAGGTATGGTCTTATACTAGTTCAGTCATTTTCTGAGCTCCAGAATAGCTGAACTACCCTGGCACGTTGCAGGTATAATCTTCATTCATTTACATCTGGATTTATAATATTCTATTCCCGGTAAATTAAACACGTTAATTGGGTCGTCGGCGTAGAGTTCATTGACACATTTTTTTATTATTTGTTTTAGTCTATAAGATTGATTTGTTTTGTAATATAATTAGAATTAAGAACACTAGTCCAAGTAGAATGATTTAGAAATTTGATCGCGGGATAGACATCCTTCGGCGCGGCAAACGAAACGCCTCCACCGGGGTGATAGGTCTCGCAGAAAACCGGACTTAAACAATTCTTTCTTTGTTTTTTATCGAGTGACTCAGAGGGACTCAAAGGTCGGCAACGCACTTGCGATTCTTGAGTTGCAGGTGTCCATGGGTGTCGGTAGTCACTTACCAACAGGTGACCCGTTTGCTCGTTGGCCTAAGTATTACATGTTGCATGTAAGATTCAGTTGTTTTAGCATTCCCAACGCGGGATGCCAACCCAATCATATACAAGCTAATTATTGATTATAGCAAAAAAACCCGCTTTGTGAAATTGTATAGGAGGTACTTAAAATTTACATTTATCAAAAATAAAATAAATAATACAGATTAAAACCATTAGATGTGACATATTCTTATCTTATACAGGTCACATATTTCTAGTATATACCTATATCAATGTTTCAAATCAACGTTCTTAAAACTGGTGTTAGAAGTTTCGTCGGTGGTACACTATTGAAGGGTTCGAACTTGTAACCATTCTTGACTAACACAGAGGCTTAATACGTTACGTAAAAAAAATCAATAAAAGTAAGAAAAGCGTAATTTTTGGGTCCCTAAATAATTGAATCGGAAATTCCCTCAACGGTCTTTGTTATCTAAATGTCATTGGAAAAGTTCCGACAAAATCGGTTCAGCCGTTTTGATTGAAAGAGTAACAAACATCCACACATCCGTCCTCACAAACATTAAATTAAAGACAACACCGAATCTCGCTTCATATAATTTTTAATTGTAAGACAAATATTTTTTGTTCGTTCTGGTTTCAGATCGCAGTTTGCTTTGTCTTCATGCGACATATTTTTTTATATATTTAACATATCGGATATGGCCGCGTTATGACATATTGTGTTGTTTTTTCTACTATAAAAACTACAAACAAAGTACGACATACTCTAGTGATTATTTAATGCAGTTCTAATTCTAGTTCTAATTCTTTAATGCTTTTGTAGTTCTATTTCGGTTGTATTTTTTTTATGTTTATTAACCTTCATATAAACCTTAAATATGAACTTATATAAAATATTATTTTTGCATTTAAGAGATAGTATCTCCCGTTTGGTTCCTATAAAGTTTGAAAATAATACAACTAAGGATGTTAAATTAAAAAATGAAGAAAACACGTTTATTTTATTACGATTCATCGTTATGTAGGCCGCATGGAAGCCGGTGATACTTTTTTCAAAGTTATTTATTACAAATGTATCGTCATACCAATACTCTGTTGAACTTTTACTCTGAGCCAATAAAATGAACTCTCTTTCATCGTCGTGTTCAGCCGTGTACAATACTTTCGTTTAATTAGACATACGAAAACCACAAAAACTAGTGTTCAAAAGCTTCCAGCACAGAATTCTCTTCGCACGACCGAGTAATTTCGAAAAAGTAACTACAAAAGAGTAGTTACTCGCCGCTGTCGTGATTGATGGTTCCATTAATTACTGGTTCGATTCAATCTGAAGCCTTTTGATAGCTCTAAAACAGTATTATTGAAATTTCACTTTCACCAAACTTATTTGTAGATAGGCAGTGAGGTTGTACTTTTATTTCTTTGCAAATACAAAAATTATTGGCCAGACAGTTTCTTATTACGTATATATCTGTTATCACATTTTAAATAGTTGAACATTCGAGTTTTTTAAGCGACTGTAATGTATAAGTTCGAAAAACTGAAATTGCTTTTAGTGTTATTTATTTTATTATTTACATTTTCAAACACCTTACAGCTAGAATATTAACAAAGGCAGAATAAAAATATTTTTTAAATGGATGTTTAAGATTAAATATCAATAAAGAAATTATTGCATTAATTTATTTTCAACATGCTAGTATTAGATATCAGCTTTCTGGCTCATGTGTTCATATAAGCATGTGTAGTTAGGATATTGTACCTACTTTTATTATTTTTAAATCTACTGCTACAATCGATTATCTATTTTAGACTACACAGAGGAGGCTTTGTCAAGTCAGACCGCACTCAGGAAATACCGTCACAGTAACATCTTAGTTGAGCTAACCCGCAGAAGATGACGTGACCTATCATTATTGAAATGGTCGCGGGAATTCTAAGTATCTTTCTCTTTTATCTAAAACCGGTATTCACTGCGAAATGGTCGGGATCGCCAGTATTTTTAAGATTTAATATTTGTAGACCAATAATTTAAGCTAATTACACCATCTGACTCTACCCTCCTAACCCATTTCATCTGAAAAACAATATAACCTTCACGAAAAGAACTTTGATTCCACCAACCTGGAACAAATTGATTGTTTATTGATGAACAACAAAAACTCAGTATAATATGTAAATGAGATATGGGAAAAAAATTAAATCGAAAATTGAATGACTTGAGGAAAAAGAACAAATTAAAATATAAAATGTATAATAATAAAATTTTCAGTCATGGAACAAAATTTCACTTTTTTTTTACAACCAAATACAAATTCTTGGACCACTACATAGGTACACTTGATTAAAATATGTTTTACTTACAATTCTAACCGCTCACCATTATCATCTCAACCTTATGAAGTTAGCTTTAGGGCCTTTCTAAACACTTCAAAAAATGTCTTACCTGTTACCTTTGTACTCGTATAAACATACAGAGATACATGTAAGAAGTAGCACGACATCTTCCTTCATTGCTCATTCACTGCTCATTTGAATTTCGCATCTTATGCTACTCTCTACTCGCGATCGATTTACGTTCAGGGATTCTATGTGTTTCGTTCCGCCTATCATTCTGACATACTTCCAGTCCAGTGCCAACTGTCGTCGACTTTTGTCTTTATGTTGGAGTTTCATTACATTATTTGTTCCAAGTATCATCCTATCCCTATCCCGGGTAAGCCACGGGCTTCCCTCTGCCTATCAGGCCGCCATCTTATCGCCTACCGCAGTAGTTCACTACTCTCTGGCAGCCTGCTGCCCCAACGACGGCTGGTATTTTAAGAATAGTTTTAAGAAGAAAAAAGAAATGAGCGATCAGATATCTTAACTTCAAACCTCCAAGAAAAGAGCGTACTCCTTCCTCAAAGGCCTTTGGAAGTCACTTTCCATCAGGTGACCCGTCTGCTCGTTTGCCCCCTCTTCCATAAAAAAAATCTCAAGAGCCAACTCTCAAATAGCACGCGCTTCCTGGGCGTTACACGCTTTCGTCTCTTTTCAAGAAACGACTTTACAGATTGCAGGAAAACGAGAGGAAAGATGTAAAACACATGAAAATTATATATTTTCATGTGTTTTACATCTTTATTAAACATGAAAAAAATATTTCCATGGCAAATTATTTCTTTCAGGTTTACAACAGTGGTGTATGGTATAAAAACAAAAGTTGTATATACTATAAGATCTAAATTGTACACCTATATTCGCAAATGGAATTAGTTCAACGATCAACAAAGATTTAGGATGTAGAAAATACAATGAGTATTTTGATTGGCAGCCCTGCATACACTCAATACCGGCGGGACCCAGCGTGATCTCTAGTTTAATTACGTTATTACATAATGTTTTGTTTGTACGTATAGAAAAAATAACCGAACCTTTGTTATAATTTCCGGTGTATTAAGATTAGAATAGCGTTAACCTTATGAGCGCCTTGGATGGAACTATTGACTAAGCAAAGAGGAAACAAAAAACTTTGAGTGACAGAGTCCGTAAACTAGAAAGTTAGTTGAATAACGAATAGATGATGACTCTGATTAAAAGTCTGTTATGTGTTAAACTTGGTGTATATGGTCAGAACTCTTAACCGGTTAAAAGTATTTTTACCTGGTAAAATCAATCAAAAGAACTTTTGACCGCAACATCGTACTGGTTTAACATCAGCAGCATCAATATCTTCAGCCTTTAATAAACAGGCCTAGACATAAGCCTCTGCTTGGAAAGAAGGTTTTGGCTTATAGTACCTAGTAACCTAGAAGGAATTTCGCTATTAAGATAGGAGGAATACTTTACACCCACTTGAGTACCTCCACCATACATGAGCCCTACACATAGGGGGAGCGTCAAGGGCAGCCCATTAGATTAGTAAAAAAAACAATAGGTAGAAATACTCGAGCGTGTAAAAATAAGGTTACTTGAGTCAATTACATACACATTAGTGTGTATTTAAAAATATTGAGCCTGACATAGAGCAGTGGTTAGCTGACATAAAGCAGTGGTTGGCTCACATAATTCCAAAAAACATACCCATGACAAATGCAAGAAATCTTGCAATAAATAATGCAAGAAATCTTTAAATGTCTACATAATTTTTCGTGCCTTTGTTTGTCACATTTTATAAAAAATAAGAAATCAAAATATTTCTAACCGTCAGATTTAAAATACTCTGCAAAATTATCGACAGATTTTTATCTAGTATGAGAGGAACACAGGAGGAACACAGCTGAACCGTCTGTATAAAATCTAACGCGCTCGGGTATTTCGAAATTGTGATTTTTCGAATTTGCCGTTTGCATTTTCGATAATTCGCTGCGAGCTTGTGTCACTTTACAATCGTCAACCCTTTCAATGGGATCATTTTTTGCGTCCAAATAATATTATCTGGCAAATATCTGATGCCCCTAAATATTTTTTTCTCTACTAGAAATTCTGTTACGAAGTTCACCACTATCATTCCAGCCATAAATCACCTTTAAACTTAAACCTAATGATATTTTAGAATGACAATTTTATGTTTTATTAAACTTAATTTAGCAGAAACACTCTTGGAAAAAAATAAATATTAAAATATTAAATATTCAATTACCTACCTACAAAATGATGTGCTGAAGCATATGTGATAAACTTGCTTGTTACTTTTTAGTCTTAATAAGATAATAATAATCATTAATGACTTAAAGAAAGAAAAATAAATTATAGTTTAAAAACTAAAAAGCACGCTTTTGTAGCTAGCCGAACTAAAAAGTAGGAAATACCTAAGTGTCTAAAAGTTCAATGAGAAAAATTATTTTATCGTACAAATGCGTAAGATGCTTTTCAAGGATTTTTTAAATATAATAACTTTACTTTTATCAATATCTGTAAAATATTTTGACAACAATTGTGATCTAAAACCCCACGCTTTTTACGATAAAATTATTCAGGGGCTGTTTCGTATAAGGCAGTCTTATACGACTAAAATGCCTGTATCCAGTTTCCTTATTTCCATTTTCCCTTCAGAGTGAGATAATATTTGCCAGTCTGTTCTTAAATTTGCCATGCAATTGCCTTCAACTGAGACCACATATTCTGGGAGCTATGACCTTATCTTCACTGCTCATAACGTATCAGCAAAAAATCTTGATAATTGATTGAGTATTTAAGAGTAAGCGTAAAAATAAATGAACTAATGAACTCAAGTTTGCACATATTATTAGTTAAAATAAAAATTATCAATTTATATTCAAATTTAGAAGAATTTTAATCCATATCCATACTAATATTATAAATGCGAAAGTGTGTCTGTCTGTCTGTTACCTCTTAACGCTTATACTACTGAACCGATTTTTATGAAATTTGGTATAGAGATAGTTTGAGTCCCGGAAAAGGACATAGGATCATTTTGATCCCAGAAATTATCCTTTAAGGGGGGTGGAAGATTGTATGGGGAATCAATAGCCGCTGAACCGATTTAGATAAAATTTGGTATGGAGATTATTTGATTCTTGAGACATAGACTTTTTACCGCGATAACCAACATAATCTTGGACGGAGCCGCGGGCAAAAGCTGTAATGTATAAAAATATAAATTGTTGGGAAGTTGGCTAATACTTATAAAATACTTTCATACAACACTGTCAAATACTTTGAAGTAGAAGTTATAATATATACGCTATCAAATTGTCCATCATCTGATGTAAGAATCGTTTCACGAGAGATCAGTTTGTCAGTATAACAATGCTCGGGAACAAATTCGCTAGCCTGATCAAATTGCTAATCGGTAAAAGTGTATCGGTGGTCCCGTCGATATCCGAGATTATCATCGCCTCTTACTTTTTAACCTTTTTTGTTTACAAGTCCATTATTTTTTATTCTTGGCTTACACAACGCTGTTGCAGTGTTATATTAGATCGCGAGATTAGTCATGTACCCATGGTACGAATTTTGTACAAATATTTTTCAGAGAAAGCACATTTCTGGTGAGGATCGATAACAATTATAAAACCCTTATAAAAGGTCTCAGAAACTTGATCGAAAAGGTTGTGCCTTTCTGTTGTAAGCCTTTATCAGTGAAGGTAAAACCGCATGAGTGTATTCGGTCAGCGGTTTACTTCTCACTCGTCTTGGTATGAGACAATACCTGCTCCTAACACTGGAACGCCTATAATAACATAATGAGTCATTCTAATCCGATTGAGTAGAAATGCATATAAAATGTACAAAACATTCAATACAAAATTTTATTTAATTGAAGTAGATCACGTCGTCGTTGACCCGCGACAATCCCACGCTTTTGCTGCCTGAATGCCGCCCGAACTGCCATTAGTTGCTGTTATTTGTACTTTTATATTGTTCTGTTTTTCTCATTCTATTGTTAGCTTAGACGCCTTCACTTTAATTGTATATCCATCTGAAACGAGTGGATTATGGCCGCGTAACAAGCGCTGCATGAGGTCAGCAATTTCTGCTTGATTTATTTCTTAAGAGCTAAAATCTTTAATGTCATTTTTTTGCAAATGTTAACGAATAAGTTATCTAGTTATCACAACCACATATTTAGAATACCTACCTAATTTATTTAGTTTACCACAAGGTTATTCGGTTCACATCGAAATATATAACACATTAAGACTTCATATTTTTAATTTGTACATTGTAAATCTCGACAGATCGCAAAAATACCTCGATCCACAATTCATAAACTAAAAAAGCGGCACTTGCTTTTGCTTGTAGGAAAAATGCTTCAGTTTCTCTTGAATTTGACAAATTTTCTGTCACTGTTTTCCTACCTGCAAACAAAATCAATTATACATTCTTTTCCAATTTCTATTTAGGTCATAATACATGTTAGCATTAGCAGACTTGAGGTTTATGGTTTGTTTTGTGTTTTAGTTCTTCTACGTGACAAAATGATTTTAGAACTGTGCTTGTCCTCAGGGAGCGCGTAACTGTTACGACTCATAACCTGAGCTCCTCCAGTAACCCATTACCAGAAAACCAGTACTCTCAAAGCACTGCACAAATCGGCACTATCCGCACCGAGAAATACAAACAAGACCTAGCTGAATTTCAGGCACGAAGGTCGTCAGGAGCCAAAGACCTACCAGAAACGCCAGTAAAAAAAAAATGTGGCCGACATTCTTTACCTGTCTCTTGTACGGACTGTTCTGCAGACCCCGACAACACTTTCAATTATGAAAAGAAATCTGCTATCAAATATAAAAAGAAAATACAGAAACGCGCACGAAGTACGACCCCAGACCGAACAGTTTATGAAACTGGCGTGCCTAATATACAATTTTTGTTTCAAAATCAGGTGTTTATGCCTGGTAATTTGTTTCCGGGAGCGTCGTTTACTGAACCCCAAAAAATCAAGCTACATTCACGGCATAGGATAAGCAGATCACCAGACTTGGACTTCATGGTTCAGAAACACATAGATTTTAAAGAAGACGAACAGCCGGATTGTCCGCCTAATTTCTACAAGAAGAACTCTCTGCCTTTCGATATGAAGAGTTTCATAGATTATTCTAAATGCGATGACGATGTAACCGATGGGCCTGCAGCAGCAGGCGACGTAAAGCTATCTAGTCAGAATTTATCCACCTGTTCTAAGGAAGAAGGTGATGATAAACTTTTTGAGGTGATGAGCGAATTGAAAAACTTTGATCAATGGGCTGACGAGCAGCTGCAGGTTCGGTCGCCGGACACCACCAAGTCAGACGACAGCAAAGTATGTTTGTGTAGGGCAATGCCCCCTGCGTCCCATTTTTATATAGTTGTGTAGTTTACATGATTGACCTTAGTGAAATCAGAATCAATTTGCCTAGTTACAAATAACGGCATTTTCGTTCAAGTGACTGATCGCGATTGGTCTTTTTTTATTATGATTTAAATTTTAATTCGCTTTCAAGTTTTTTCGATTCTATTTAGTTAAAGGCTTTACGAGGAATCGTTGTGTTGTCACTTGAGATGAATTTTAGTCTTCATTTTAGAGCGACACGAGTGCATACGGTTTACCAATAGCGAGTGCAAGCAACCTTGATGTGACAGTGGACAAGAAAAAAACGTGGAGTAACGGCAAATGGGGAGTCGTTCCTGTTCAGATAAAAAAACTCGCTGACGTCACTATCGGCCACGTTAAAAAGAAAAACAACACAGAGATAAATATTTTGCGGTAAGTGCTAATGACGTCAGCTTTGTCATATTTCATTAGGCGTACTCTGTTTAAGCCATATGTATTATCAGAAGGGAAGTAATGTTCGTGAACATTTTTCTTTAACTTATTTATTTCAGTTAGGATTTAATTTTAATTATTACAAGATTATTAAAAGAGAACCTGTAAAACCTTCTTAGTTATTACTTTTTTCTAATATCTGGTTACTCTTCTTTTTAATCAATGTCAATGTCTAGAGAATGTAATTATGTGACAGGAACACTACATTCATAATATAATTTTATTAGGATATCTACTATACGATGTGTATCTTACAAATTATGAGTGGTTAGTTAATTTTGTTCTAACTTAGCTAAACATTGCACTATAGGTGTCAGATTTAGGTACGAACAGAATGGGTTGGGAGCACTAAGCACACCGTAAACACCGCATAAAGTTTCATAGGTAGACTAGCTGACCCGCGCAACTTGGTCTGCGTCTCTCAATAGTAATAAATTTTCTCCGTTTTTGAAACATTCTTCATTGGTGCTCCGCTCCTATTGACCTTAGCGTGATGATATATAGCCTATACCCTTCCTCGATAAATGGGCTATCTAACACTGAAAGAATTTTTCAAATCGGTTCCTGAGATTAGCGCGTTCAAACAAACAAACTCTTCAGCTTTATAATATTAGTATAGATATGCAGCCTTCCGACTAAAGCCATACAAATAAGTTATCTCTGCACTTGTAAAGAGGTTACTAAAAATGCCCATGGTGATGAGTGATATCTATCGTCTAAAATAATCAAAAGTATTACAGCTAATAAATTTTTGACAACTCTATGGAAATGTGGACTAAATCTATACATCTATATCTATACAAATAAATAAAATTGGAGTGTATGTTTGTAATATTAAAATAACCGCTTTTTACTAAAAGCATATGTATGTTTACACGGTACATGCCAAAATAACATTTTTAACAATTTTTGTCTGTCTGTTCCGGGTAATCTCTGGAACGGCTGGACCGATTTCGATGGGACTTTCACTGGCAGATAGCTGATGACATAAGTACTAACTTAGGCTACTTTTTTTAGACTAGCTTCACCCCGCGGCGTTGCCCGCAGTTATAACAACAAACGCGGGTAACACCGCGGGTCTCATCCTGTGTATATTATAATTACTGGAAGGAAAGAGTCAGGAGTTGTATTTACGATCGACTCCTGAATCAATCAAGAATTAGCTCTTTGATATGTGTTGTTTTACCATTCCAGAAAATGTCGCCATCCAAATATAATACTTTTGATGGGACTGTATCCGGACATACACGGAAACGTTCATATCATTTGTGAGAGATGCGTTGATTCTGTTTTCGGTATACTACACGTACAGGTAAGGAGCAACAAAAAAAAAAGTGAAAATACATCAATCTACATTTAGATCTTTACTTCGCTTTTCAAACTAAATAGTTTAAATTATAATAATTAATTTTCTGATGATGTTAATTATTATTCGAGTATGTCGGTTACAATCTTAATTGAATAATTAAACCATTTCAAAACGTACTTCACACTGTTTTGTAATAACTATAATTAACAAACCGTTCTAAAGCCTAACAAATAACCTCAGTAGTAACGCTTATTAATTCAAACAAAAAGTTGTTGACTAAATTTGAAGGTATGTTTCAGGGTCAGATTCTAAGTGCGCAGACATCAGTGCAATACGCGTTGGATATAGCGAATGCTTTGGTGTTTCTCAAGATGCAAGGGTACCTTCACACGGAGCTGAGCAGCGCCCATATCATGATAACGAGCCATGACACGGCCAAGCTAGCGGATGTAGGGTCGTGTGTTCAGTTAGCGAAACAGAAGCAGAACCCCCGTAAGGAGTATGATGTGTATTCCCCTGAACCACAGTATGTGAATATTGACGGTGAGTACATTTTTTCACTAGGGTTAAGGAGGACCCGTCCGTGTGGTGACGGATAAATAATACTAGTACTACTAAATAAAACTAATAATAATAAGAAGCCCCGAAAATTTAACAAAAATAACAATATTTTACTGAATACTTCAACAACTGTGTTTGAAAAATTACTAAACGCTTCGTGAAATATACCTTAATATGGATTTTTAAAATATTCCAATAGCGGTTTAATATTACATTTTATATTAGATGGTAATTTTGTCATTTTTTTTTACCAATCATCACTCAAGGTGGCCCGAGGCCTTGGAATACGCGCCTCCGCCACCAGGTTCGTCGGCGACGTATTATTTCTGAGTGAAAATCTTCCTCCCGGGCCTTCTTCGCCGCCATCGCCTCTTTCCGCGCGATTACACTTTCGTAGAAGGATGCGACAGCGATGAAACATCTGTCGCTACCGGCCATGGCGCGTATTACGGCTGGTAGAGAGAGATCCTCTTTGATGACGGCAATGAGGACCCGACGATTTGACGCCCAAGCTCGGCAAAATGCCCAGGCGGTACTCAATTCATTCTTGGTAACCGAGTGCAGGTACTTCCCAAAGCTGCCGTGCCCGGAAAGGACCTGCCTCAGTCGGAAGGAAAGGGTCCCATGCCGATGCCCTACTACTCGACGATGGCAGGCTGGAGCGCCTCCACGGCGATAAAGCCAGCACGTGGAGCCTCCAGCGCGGAGCGGCCAAACGCCACTCGCGTACCACTTCGGGCGGGCCCCGACTGCCGCTACTTGCCCAGAACTCATCGCCGATATACTTCCACCTACAAATCCTATCACCAGTTTGTCTGTATACCTATCACCAGTTCAAAATGAATACAGTCCATCCAAAGGTTGCCTGGAAGAAATTGCACTAAGCGATAAGGCCGCCCTTTGTACATTACATCTGTTTTTAATTACTTTATAATGTTTGTAAAACCCTGGTGTACAAATTAAGTATTTATCTATCGAACGGGGGTGTTCCAGCCAACCGCGGCAACCGCGTAAGGCTCTAAATGTCATAGCTTCTGAGACCGCCAGAGGCGCTCCCTACACTGTGCAGTCAAAGTCACCGTCCACAAGGCGCACCGTATGGGCCATTGACCGGATAACCCCCGTGTATGCCCGCGTCACTGGGCAAACGCAGCGCCGACCAGTTTTAGCAAGCTGTCGGAAGTGCTCGTTGAAGAGTCACCTCCCGTTAATCTGGGTCATAACCGGTACGAGGACCGAATTGATCACGATTGAGGTGCCAGAGTGTGGACCACGATGGCCCATGAAAGAGGGCCCTGGTCACCTCGCCGTTTCCTGCTGCACTGAGTGTTGTGGGTTCGATCCCTATATGTGTGATCCACAAATCGTTTTCTGAGTCTGGGTGTTCTGTGTCCGTTTCATATATATTTGTAAATTCCCCTGCGACACTAGATATATTCTTAGTGGGGGAGTTGTCTATTTAAAAAAAAATGCTCCCGCTTACCAGAGAGATTTCGATTGATTGGTTTGAGATTTCCCTGGTGGCCAGGCGCGCCGCCTCTCGGGCTGTAACCCGTTCCCGTACCCTTACCCAGGCTAGCATCGGCGTAACAAATTACGCTAAATCGTACCCTATTCTGTTCCAAGAAAATACCCTTATGAAATACTGCAGGTGAAGGGCCGGCGCCTCAGATATCCATCATCACGATCGATCAAAGACCCCGCCAAGAGCAGGCCGCTGCGGCTCATTGCCTCTTCGGTCACGATCCTGAGGCGCAGCACAGCGTCGATCGTCAAACGCCTCGCTCGAAACTTGAATCGGCCGTCTGACAGATAGGGGCCCACCTCGCAGAGGTGCCGGACAATGCGGACAAAGAGAACCCTATGAAATAATTTACCCCCCTTCGTCCAGTAACACAATGGGCTTATAGGCTGCAACCGAATTATCAGGCTGTCCCGGCTTTGATAAAAATACCAACTTCCCGCTCTTCCAGCACTCAGAGATACGTCCGGACCCTAAGCTAGCGTCGAAAACGACACTAAGGGGGTCTGACATGGGTAAGAGGGCTAGGGCCAGCACTCGGAGAGGTATCGCGTCTGGTGCGGGAGCTGTGTTCTTGGAACGGATCCGTAGAACAGCTGCCCCTACCTTCGCATCCGTAACGAATGGAACACCATCCATGTTATTTCCGTCGTTTCTGGCCAAGGAGGCCATCTACAGAGGTGTGTATTCCACCCGTTGTGGGAAAAGACCCGCAACCAGGCTCTCCTACTCTCTCCGAAAGGGAGGGCACGACGCGCGGAGCGTTTTGTCGCACCGCGCGATAACGGAGGCCGACCCACAATTAAGACCCTCCAGCATCTCCTTTCAACCAACCAACTCAACCCTGAACTAGGGTATTGAATCGAGAGTCCGGACGATGTCCTAATAACAGCTGTTCCCGGATTCCTCTTATTTCAGGCACAGAGTAGTTCACCGTATGGTTTTAGTCGGTTCAATGCCGACACACGAAAGTATCCGAAAATATGTTAACCCGCCACTGTGTGATGATGATGATAGAGTGTTATGTTTTTCGAGTGTGTGGCAGTCGGATTGTGTTATTTCCCTTCAATAATTAGCTTGTTCAACCTATCGCTGTTGGGGTTGTCCTTCTATTAAAAGACTGAAATGTAATAAATTAAGATAGTATCTAGATTGAAAAGATTAGTCTAGTAGTCCTAGACTTGGCCAGTTGCGTGTGTGTGCCTGTCTTAGAAGCTTCTTCAATCCCAAGACAGACCCCGACCCTTGAGTCTCCGAAGACCGTGAATGCAATAGCGCACTCCTGGTCTCCGGTCAATCCAATTTCCCATCCTAGACTTTTGTTATTATCCCTCACTTTAGCTCCCTCTGTATCAGTTTATTTTCTTCCCTTTTTTCGATCTGTAAACGATAGCATTCCGAAGGCGCCAAGGCGGTAACCCTTGGCGATAGGAACGACGGTGGCTATAAAAAACTACCAAAACATTTTTGCAATACTACCCATTGAAATTAGGAAGTAAACGTGAAGATGATGATGATTCTGTGAATCACACAACCGAGTTGGCTTGAATCACAAGTCTGTCAAGTCAAATATTATCCTTTAAACGATATTCGTATGTGTGTGCGTTGTTAGACTGTGAGTGGCGCTGGTAATCGTATACCTTTAGTCGTAGACATCGCTTGCTTCCGAAGAAATATAAAAAAGATTTTAAGTTATCAATCGTTTTGGTTGCTCGCTACAATTTTAGTCCGTGAATGACCGCCGTCGTGCCATCACTCTCGCACTAAAGTTTAATGTATCTTCTTCCGCCAACTACTCACTACATAGTTGAGAAACTCGCGAGTGAAATCAAAAGTTATTTTTGACTTTAGGTACCTACCTTCTTTTTAGCACATGCTTAAAAACGGTACTAAATCTTTATGAATTATAACCGTGAGAAATAAAATGGTTGTTGCCTCAACAATGTGCATGCTAAATTAAATTGTTTTTGCTTTCGCTTAAATATATGGATGTTTTGAAATCGAAACTGTATTTTTTTTATCTATATTTATATACCCCGTTAAAATTAACATGTAAATAGTATTACCATTTATTACAGGCCATTACGTCAATTGTTATTTTTATTCATTTTTTGTGAGAACTTTAAACCGTTGGTATCTTATAAAGTCGTAGTGTCTTAAAATAGAGTAGCTTCGGTTTTTTTTAAATTTGAATGTGACACATTTGTGTAAGTAAGCGCAAAGATTTTGGTTTACTTCAAGTGAAATGCTTCGTTGAAGGTGATTTTGAGGTCACACAAACTAACTTGAAAAGCATTAATACAGTGTGTTCAATTGTTTTCTAAATATCGTTGACGCAGCGCCAACCTTGTGCGCATAACTTATAATTTTAAATAATAAATTGTTAATAAGTAGGTTTTGAAACGTACGTTTTTCTTTAGTAAGTTAAACAGTGAACTTTCTTTGATTGTGTTGTAGTTAAAGTGGGTTATACTTATCAACCGATATGTCATTTTGAACTCAAGGAAATTAGAAAAAGTATATTAGTATACTCGTAGTATCCCATTTCTGTACTCTTAGATCTTTCAAACTTCGCAACGGATTTAAATGCGGTTTTCTTCAATAGAGAGAGAGAGCGATCTAAGAGGAACGTTTATAATGTGCGGGGATAAGCTCAAGGCCCGACAATCGGCGGCCATTCATTATACCTAATTATATCGGGAGGGTGCTGACTTGCTGTGAATGTGGACACACGTTCACGGCAAAAATCGGTTATGTCGGTCACCTGAGAGCACATCAACGAAGCTCTTATTAACTAGTGCCAAGTCGCCATGGCCGAATACGGTCTGGATGGATGTGACTACACACTGGCACCATATTAGTATCTGCCTTGCACCTGTGGTAAGCCGGGGTGGATCGCTAGTACACATACATATTTAAGTTTACTGTATATTTACATATTTGGCATTAACATACTTCTATTGAATTTTGAATATGAATTAGTGCTATTTATATCTAATACTTTACGGTACATAATTTCGAACAAAAAAATCAAGGTTACAAATCATTAGTGGAATTCAACGTTCAATTCAGTTCATCATTCGCCAACGTCCATACCATGTTGAACACACCGGTTCTCGTCCGATCACCGAAGTTAAGCAACATCGGGCGCGGTTAGTACTTGGATGGGTGACCGCCTGGGAATACCGCGTGACGTTGGCTTTTTGAATTTATGCTTTAATTTTTTTATGTATTAAATAGATTCAAGAAGTTTATTATGTTCATTTTCAGACACTCGTGAATCTAATGTGGCAGAATTCGAGCCACTTATATCTGCTCATCCGTCAGAGACGTACATCACATCCAACGCTGTAGCTAAGTCGTACGAGAACTATCATAGGTCGGAGCACTACAGGTGGCAGGCTCCAGAGCTGTTCACAGCCAACGAAGAGGGTCAAGTGTTTCCATGCTCGAAATGTGACGTCTACACACTCAGTCTTATACTGTGGGAGTGCTGTAACGGTGAGTCTCTTCTATCCTAAATGTAAATTCTGCTTCCCAGCAATGCTCTCCAAGTTTTTATATTCTTATAATGTAAATCCATTTTTAATACTACTAATCGCTGAAGTTACTGTTATTTGATTCGCAATGGAGCTTTGATGTCTTTTATGACTGGTAGAAATGCTACATCTCTAGCAACAATACAGTTTAACCTATGCTTTGTAGTATCTAGTTACTCGACGGACCTGTTGGTCTACTGCTAAGCCAGAGGGTGTAGGTTCAATTCCCACCCGGGACAAATAATTGTGTGAGGAGCTCGATCACTTGTTCTGTGTATGGTGTAATTTATCTAAATATAATATGTATGTATATATATAAGGTTCAGGTGGTGAAAGAGGAACATAGTTTACTGAATTTTGAACACTATGAGCTTCAGTTATTTTACGGATAGCTTTATTTATAAAGTATTACAAGCGAAGTGTTCCTAAAGAAGTAAGCTCACAATTATTTAAACATACAAATCGATTCATTTCGTATTTACGACAATATATTCTAAATTATTCCCCCGTATTTGGGGAAAGAAAACTATTAAGTTTTTCAATTTTCAATGCCCGTTTTATAGCTTGTCTTGAAACGCTCAGAAGGGTGGGGTTCTTGATGTAAACACAAACTTTAAAATAGTATTTTATTTGACTTTCAAACAATCTCGCTGCACAACTGTACCTGACGGGTTTCACAATTCGAATGGCGGACTGAGACAGTGTTGCAACATTCGGAAAACAATTGATTCATGAGTCGACTTAAAATTATGATATGAATAACTTGGGTTTTTAAGAATATTACTATTAGATTAAATTAGTGTTTAAAGTGAATAATATTATTAATTAGTGATGAGTATAAATATGGTAAGCGATAAAATTAATGACTGTTCCACTCTATCTTTTTTATATCTATCTATATACTATCTTTTTACCGTAACTCACGAGTAAGTTGAATTATGACTCTAAGATCGTAAAAATAAGACTCATTCTGGTTTTAAAGAAATAAAATTACAATTTGGGGTAAGAGAAACATATAAGTGACTGCACAGATAGCGTAGTGGTTTAAGCGGTCGCCACGCCACTTTCTATTGCGCTGAGTATTGTGGGTTCAAAACCCACATGGGATAACACTTTGTGTGATCCACAAATTGTTGTTCTGAGTCTGGGTGTACTTTGTGTCCGTTTCATGTATGTTTGTAAAGTCCCCCGCGACACAGGATTTATTCCTAGTGCGGGAGTTGTCTTTTTTAAAGCAAAAGCAAGCAAAAGTAAGGCCAGGGGTGTGAAATCTGCAGGCTGCTTAAGTAAAAAAGTGCTATTCGTATAAAACTTTGATAAATAAATTAAAATGTCACTCTAGGAGACTAACAGAAATGTCAATTTCTGAGGCAACCTAAAAATAATTATACTTACTTATTATAGAACTATAAAAGATAATATAACTATAAAAGTTAATCATAAAAACGGCAGGAATGAGATCGTCTTATCAAACATATTAAAATTTAAATGACATTTCATAAATAGTTTTACCCTTCCTGGCAATAACTCAAGAAAAGTAACAAACCCTTAATATTTTTGTTATTTAACCAAGTAAATCTGTTGTCTCAATGAAAATAATACGTAGGGGTCACTATATAAATTTTGAGACGCCAAAAGTAAACAATATATACTTACAAATTATATATTTTTTCAAGATACTTCATGACTCTCTATACAAATTTCCATCCGCCTAAACCAGACTGGATACACTTATTCCAGCCTTCCCCCGATAGGTCAAAAATGGCTGATTCGTAGACAGCCACTGCTTCTTCGGCACTTGAAATAAACTTGCCTTTTATCTTATCTTTTATGGTTGGGAATAAAAAGAAATCACAAAAAACTAAGACGGGGCTGTAAGGTGGGTGAGGAAGGGGTTCAATATCCGATTCTGGAATAAACACCTTTGTTCTGAGGGAAGAGTGTGAAGACGCATTGTCGTGGTGCAGCATCATTCCCCGGAGCCCGGTCTTTGGTCGTCTCTCCTGCACAGCTTTAAAAACATGCTCTTCTTAAAATCTAATAGTCTAATACCTTTAAGCCCTTTACGGTCATAAGCGCGATTCATAATAGTGGCTCGCAGTATACCGTAATGCTTGGCAGTCTTGTAACCAGACAAATCACCACTTTTTACAGCTCTTACTGCTTCCAACAATTTTTCTTTAGGGTAGCTTAGCTTTTTTTCTTACGTAATTCCGAAGCATTTTTGCAGTGTGTAATTCTACTCAGTGACTTATTGCGAGTCTAGATTTAGTTTTCCTGCTAAAATTGTTTAGAATATTTCATCGTCTATAAAAAAGGAAAGTATAAAAACCAAAACAACTATCCTTAATTCTATACAAATATACAATAATATAACAAACCCCTTCGTCGCTTTACATTGCATGTAATGTACTAACAGTCCGACAGTTATTTATATTGCACAACATTCTAAAACAGCATACTGAACTTCCCTATAACCCCATACCATCAAATAAGAGAAGGAAGGACATAGTGTGTAGCAGGCCTCAAGCTAGTCATACATATGTTCATAGATTTTATTTATTTTTAGGACCTTTTTTATACAATAAAATTAATAGAATACTAAATATATACAGCCTCAATAATAAAAAATGTGTGAACATGTTATCAGAATATTTAGGTAAATTTAACTATGCAGACACAGAAAATGTATTGGCAATTGTTAAATGAGTTTTAAATAGTTTTGTATAATATTATTTTCTATTATTTGCTTTCGTACGTGTACACTTTGTAGTATTTTTTTTATTTGCTAGTGATCTGTTATGTTTATCTTAAATTTCTACCTTAAAAATTCCATGTCAAGCGATCGCCTGAAACACAGGTTTACTCTAGTTCAGGCAGGCAGCGACTAAAGTTTTTAAACAAAATCGTAATATCTTTATGAAATCTAATCATAAAATAACACTACTATAGATTTACGCTAGTGTAACTTAGTCTAATTATTGTCTAAGATCTATGTTAAACTGAAATGTCCTACACTGTAATATTTATATTTATCAAATAAAATTAAAAATAAAATTAAAAAAAAAAAAATTTAATATACACAGTAGTTAAATAGATTGCAATTTTTTCTTTCATTTGAAAACTCTTATTTGAGGCCTTATTATATTTAAAACCATATCTTCATATCTTTACATTGTATAAAATAAAGTCGCTTTGCTATGTTGTACGCTTAGATCTGTTAAACTAAGCAACTTTTAAATTTTCACCAACAGAGAAAGTGATTCAAGAGGAATGTTTATATGTATCATACTTGCATATTATAGTAGAGAAAATCCGAGAATTTCGCCTTATCACCTAAGGATACCCCACATCATCAACAGTCTTTAATAGTCCACTGTTGGACATAGGCCTCTCCCCAGACAGGTGATTTTGGGCTACTATACCACTGGCCAGACGGGTTGGTATAGGGTTTTCTTTTCTCTGCAGTGCTGTTGTCCTGCGTAGTTTACTCCCTTAGTCGGCTCTTACAACACCCACGGGATGAATAGGGGTGGTTACATTGTATTCTTAATCCGTCATCACACGGACAACCAACCCACAGTAACCATTTTTATATTTTAAATATTACACAAAAATAAAGGGTTATTTAAGAAGATATTTTAAATAATACATTATCTTTCCTTATCCAATTAAATACGTTAAAAACGTTGTGTATTTAATGTACATTAAAATTGCTCTTTACAGCATGTCATTAACATTAATATTTAAGAAGATATTAGAGGTTTTAAATGCGGGGTCAAAAGCGGCTGGTCGCTGCGTCGAGCCGTATGTCTGTCCCGGGTTTCAGCTGCCGGCAGGATCGCAGCGGGCCTATAAATATTGAATAAAAATAAAAAGATGTCCTGTAGTATTGGCCTATCATAATAATAGTAAATTAATTAAATTAGTATATCAATACATGAATGTCAATATTATATGAAATCTAATATCAATATGAAATCTATACCGAGTCCGTTTGGCCGTTCTGGCTAACTGCTTTTGCTTAATATTTTTTTTAGGAGAAAGTCATTGATATACAGATTTGTCATCAATCAATAGAAATCACTTAACTTTCACCCTTCTCAAGTTATACCTAAATGTGGTCCGCAAGTACATTTAGGTTTCATAGCTATTTTCCTCTATGTCCTAGGAAGAGCCATGCTATTTAGCCTTGCACTTAACAAACATACATGAAACGGACACAAAGAACTAGACTTGTGGATCACACAAAGTGTCGTCCCATGTGGGGATTGGACCCACAATACTCAGCGTAGTAGTAAGCGGTGTGAAGACCGCTTAAACCACCGTGCAGTCAAGTGCGTTTTCGCCTAGTGAGTGAGGTTACGTTCCCCCTTCTCCTAATTCTGGGAGGAAGGGGAGAACTTCAAGGGCGGCGAAGTACCCAGTGATTCTTGAGGTGCAGTTGTCAATGGCCGGCGGTAGTCACTTACCATCAGGTGACCTGTCTGCTCGTTGATCTGTTAGATATGAAAACTCAACAGAAACTGGAGAGCACTTTTCTTTTCTCGTATACTATAATTCTTCTTTATTGCTTTCAGCTGCTATACCATGGAAGAACTTTACTTACGACAAGTTGAAGGAACAGTATACGCTCTGGAAGACAGGTGTTCAATTACCGAAGGACGGCACCTATCCTGGCAGCTTACTATCTTTGCTACAATCGGGACTCACTTTACAACGCTATGAGCGCATTGACCTCGAAACTTTGCAAAATACTTTACAAAACGTTAAAGTAAGTAAATATTTGCAAAACTCTCTTAGTATATATATATTATTTTGTACAGTATTTACTTTATTATAAATTAAGTTATAAATGTAGTACAGATTAAACTAAGTTTACACAATTAATAGGAATAACATACTTTTAAATATCCTGTCGTTTCCATCAGTTTGCAGTGACTTTCTTCACAGGCTAACTGGCTCAGTAGTGTACGCTGTCC